CTTTAAATCAGAGCTAGATAAGATTTTAACAACTCTGAGCTATTAGTTAAGTTCTCCCCAAGCGAGCTCGATGGGCCGAATGACCTCCTCTCATTTGTATAGTTCTTATGTTCTTATGTTCATTTCTCTGGGGAAAACTCTAACCCCAACATGACGGCCTTAACCCCTGCCCAGCCCTAACCTTAACCATAGGTAACCAAACAAAATACGAGATTTTAGGCATTTTTAGTTTTTTGATTCCATTCACAGATCTTTGTGAGGACCTGACAACTTCTAAATATCGGGTTTTTATTACATTGTGGGGGACATTTGGTCCCCACAATGTAATATGAACATAATCCACACACACACACACACACACACACACAGTCACTCAAACACCTGCGACCTCCAGATAATTCCACTGCTGCTGGAGCAGTTTGTAAACGGCAGCAAGTTCAACTGCAGCACAGGCCAAAAAATGTGACATTTATTTGTGAAGACGTCTTTACCTAAAACACCGTAAGCGCTCTTCAGAAAGCAGATTCAGACAATCCCTGGAGCAATTGGGGGGGAGGTGGTTAAGGGCCTTGTTTAGTGGTAAAATAACTCTGGGATTTGAACTGGCAACCTTCTGATCACAAGCACAGCATCCTAACCCATTCAGCTACACACCCAAAGAGGGACAAGACCGATTCAGAGAGACAGGGGCCACGGAGCCACATTTCATACGCGTTTAGGCATTGACGTACACTTATCAGCCAAGGGAGGTGGGACCAAACTGGAGAGGGGGGAAGGTTGTGGGATCATCAGGCTCCCAGAACAGTCCTGTGGACCCCTTTGGTGTGAGTTATGCACGGAATTCGAGATTGGGGAGGGTGAGATGGAGAGAGAGCCCGTCTAATGAACTTAGACCCCTCAAAGTCCTACTGATGCATCCCCAAATAGACAGGGCTTCTGGTTAGCATCATCTACCCATCTGGCCATGAGCCTGCCTTAAAGCAACAAAGCCCAGTCAGTGAAGGTGACTTTAGGGCTCTTACGTTCTGTAAATTCACTAAAGCTGAAGACATGCCTCAGGAGATGGCTGGAGAGAGAGAAAAGGTGACAAGAGTACCAAGGAAACAACTTGGAGTGATCCACGAGGAGTATGTAACACGAGTGTGTGCGCCTTTAAAAATGACGTAATACCATGTATATGACATCACACACTCGCCTGCCAGAATGCCGTGTCCCAACGGAACGCTGGGCGAATGTAAATTATTATTTTGTAAAGGATAATTTATGAGCTGAGGAGTCTCAATATCCAGCACATGTTAAACACGCTCTGCCTCGTTTTCACCACATCAAAGCTGCCCCCACGGGCTAAATGGACGGCCGACAACTTCATTCCACCCGCCAACAGCGCTGGCCCCTTGGCCCTAATGTGAGAACGTTACGCCCCTTCCAGCGTCCTTCCACCATAATCTCACAAACAGTTACATTGATGTCTTGTGTTATTACCGGTCCCCTGGGGACACCGATATTTCAATTTCTCTCCCCATCACGAAATAAAAGGCGATCAATAGCTATGTTAGTTTTAAAAACTTTATGACAGATAGTTTTGCGTAGGTTTTCTACCATATACAATGTCCTGCATATCTCTACGTGTGTATTTTAAATAAATAGTAACTCACCTGGTTTTCTGTAAGGGCGGTTCATTATTATTCACTTTACACAACCCTTACCACAGGTAAGGTAATAGCACAGCACCCAGGACGCTGCGACTTCTGGCAATAGCTGACGATAGTATCGGTCCCTATATAAATACTCCGGCATTAAACGAGGTCATTTCGTGTCTTTCGTTCCCAGGAGGGCTGACGCTGCTAGCAGACCCCAGTTACGGGAAGCGGAGACGCGCGTCTGCAGCACGATCGCCGAGCGCCTCGCCGGCCCCGCTGACCGCAGCGCGCTTCCTGTGGTCGCAAGATCTGTACACCGTGTTCAATCCCCGATATCGGAGCAGGAATCGATACTAAATCGCCTTGTTTCCCCATCAGTAAGCGCATTTTCTAAGCCAAATACGTCAAGGTCACCGTATGCCTCGCCGTAGGGCTGCACAGTCAGCAGGATCACGGTGCACGGAGCGTGCATGACAGGTCTGGAGAAGGGGACTGTGCACCGTGCAATCTGAAGCAGGAGTCGGGTTTTCCCTCGCCTTGTTAGCAAACAGATCGTTATTGTGGTTTTCCGCACTCGTCTGCTACTCTGCTCAACGAGTGTAGCAATTTTATATACGTCTAGGTCTATATCACGTAAACTTCAAAGATCTTTGCAATTAACTTTCATTCATTGTATGACTTAGAAGACGGGACTTAATGCATTCTTAAACCAAATGAAAACTGACCATAAGTTGGGAGCTCATTAATGTGTGGCAGCGTAGGCCGATGTAAGACTGGGATCATAATATTTCTTTTCAGTGAGGTAGACACCCTTTGAATATTTTTCGCGTTAGACACCTAAATGTCATTTTACGCTCCGCCGACCCCCGGTTGAGATCCTCTGTTTTAGGCAACAATTAAGTAACAGAAACTAGAAAATTTTAAATATTGCGCTATTCATTTGCATTTTTGATGCTTAAGAAACAAGTTCATGTCCAAAACTTGCATGTATATTTAAGGACATGAAAGATACGACTTAAAATTACAGTGGAAGACGCAGACCATGTGCGCATATAAATCTGTAAAAGTGTTCAGATACAAAGGACAATTAATACGGCTAACAGGTACGATATTATTACACAAGCACTGGATTTTTACGCGCAACGCGAAATCAGTGCTGAATGACCGCTATGTTTTATAGCCTATCCGTCAATAAAAACGCGTTTAAATTGGTCGGACTAGATACACAAGAGGCACTTGTTCGCAAACTCCCAAAATCCGGATTTTGCACGGTCTGTCTAACATACGACACATGTGCAATGATCGGGCAAGTGCACAGACATCAGGCGCGCCCAGCTGAAATTTTAAAAACTCCCTTTGACTGTAAACTGTAAGCAATATTCAGCTTCACAGAAATATACGTGTTTCACGTCAATGCTTTGTACTTAAGATTGTGTGTGTGAGTTTTTCGGTTTTTTTTGTTTATTGTTAGGGATCCTTTTCCCTGTTCGGAAAATGTGCTCGAGTCCCATCACGTTACCGTTTAACCCTAACTCTCCCAGGGGTGTTTAATGTGTTTAATGACTGACCACAAGCTTTCCTCAGTTGTACTTCGTAACTAGTCAATGAATGGGGGGGGGGTTCTACGGTCACCATCATGGCGTAAACGTTACCAACAACCCACCGTTTCTCATTGTCCCAAATTATAGGCGAAGACAGATATACAACATATAGACTATACTCGTATTTTCCAACCCTTATCAGTTTAGCCTGTTACTCGTAGCGGTGACGTTGATAGACGAGATAAGCGTTTGGACAGCAAACAGCACGGCTCACCTCCCGAGCTAAGGGTTAGGAGTTCGGACAGCGACCCGCTAACCTGCTGCGCTACATTTAAGACGCATGAAATCACCATATGATATGTTATGAACAAGTCTCCCTAAACAAAAAGAGCTGTGACAATCAGCATTGCCCATCTCAGCTTCACGGTTCCTCTGACTTTCATTAAATTAGAGCTGGATTAAAATAGATGCCTGGTAACAAGTTTCGCTTCAGTGTCATTGAACTTCTGCGATACGCTCTGCGCTGTTTGCGCACGCCGAACTCCTTAAAAGAACAAGCGAAATATAAGACACCTGAAGAAAATTACCTTGCAGGACATGGAGTTCCACTTTTATCTTCTACTTCGGGTCTAGAGCTGTTCATCTTCTAATGAACGGCACAGACCGATTACTATCCATGCGATTAGACTGCATTCCCAATCCAACTCCGGTGCCAAAAGTGGAAATAAAGTCGCAATATGTCTCTAGAGCGGAAAGCAGTGATTGGCAAGGTGATGTGTTGTTTTGGATCTTGTTCCCGGTGTATTTGGTGCTGAGACTCGGTACGTGCAGACTCACCGCAGATACGGCGCTCTTTGCTCCAATGTGACGTCAATGAGGACCCCACATCCCCCAGCAACCCCGCTAATAACTCACCTTAGTTCGGTGCGATCATCGCTCATTGCTGTGGAATAACACTTACTGGATGCTGGTAACAAATCTCCGCTCACACATGCATGAATTTCCGAGAAAAGCGTCTGCAGTCTTAGGCTAAATCACTTATGTTAAATCATTAGTTACGTCTCTTACATCGGTATAGCGGTCAAAATAGTGTAATAAACCATCTATGGTCAGTTTCTCGTTTATATAGGATATTTTAGGTATATTTAACAAATAGTTCTTAATTAATTCATTTTGCTTTCGATATTTTCCCTCTTAAGTAAAAGAAACTCTACAGGTTAACATTCTAATTCTAAGCCCGTTCAAAGTAAGCATGCATTTCCTGTTCTAAATACGAAGGATCCGTAGTCAACACGAATTTGTTACATTCATATCTGTGAACTGGTTCAATCAAATGTACTGAATCTGGTGAAGGTATTTTTATTTAGCCACGATTTCCTTTGAAGCGAATCAGAATTGTTACATGTACTTCAAATTCAGTTAAACATCGACAGTATATATAGACATCAAGAAGGTTGGTCACAGTTTCAGAACTTTTAGAAAAGCAAATATTACGAAGTTTTGATGAGATACTGTGGCTTTTTGCGATAACATTTGGTTTAAAAACTGCCGGTAGTTTTTTAGGTTCTCTACATATTAGATCCGGTGGCCCGGCACTCGTTCATCAGACTGTACAATATTATTTCTCCGTTTCTGCCTCTGAGATGAGACGAATTCAGATACAACACGAAAGTCAGGGGAATATTCACCCGTCCATGACACAGGATGAAAATGATCATGATCAAGGCGCATTACTGAATGAAGTCCGAAAACGTGTTAACTATTACGCTTCTTATATACTGTACATCTTTGTGAAATACAAGTGAAATGCATTAGGCTTAATAGTTAAAGCCACGTGGGAAATGATTTCTTGGAAATTAATAATAAAATAAGCCATCATATTTTATTCGGGGCTTTTTGCATTTTAACATTTGATATGTGACTTGTTTGTCCTTGTTTCTTAGTTGGTGTAACCTGCAGTTATACAATATTTAAATAAAAGGAAATGCGCAGTTAGGAGACAAAAAGTATTTTGGTTTGCTGATCAGCTGAAGCTTTGATAGACAGATAAACTACGGAAGGTCGTAGTGTATTTCAGACCTTACCAGACCCTTGGGTCATGCGCTCGACTCATGCATAATATTTCACTTTAATGCCACAATCACCAGCCTTTTTCCTTCTCTATTATGGACGTTTTTGACCCCTTAATAAATATAACTGCATTTCCGGTGCAGGCGTCACCGTCATTCTAATATAATCTCCGTACATTAGAAAAGCACAAATCTGCCTCCTGCCCCCAACATTAAACTTTAGCGAGTTACTGAATACTGAATAAATGGTTTACTTTCAGTTTTTAAATGTAACAGCCTATATGTGTTGCCGGAGAAATACTAAAAACATACATTTTACATTTATAGGCTACATACTACAACAATATGTTATAGACTACTATTTTGTCGTATTTGGTTTTAACAATAAATATTATGGAATACCATTTGAAATCAATACTAGAGACTGTGCACAAATGTATTAAAGTATACAACTGACCAAAAGAGGGCGCCTTTATTCTCAGAAAATATGCTGTTTTCCCAGCTTTTAAGTTTGGTTCAGTGTTAATTCACAGAATTTACACAAGACTACACGAAGAATATAGGTGCTTATGCACACACACGCACACACGCACACACGCCAAGTATTGGCCAATCTACATGCCTCCGGCAAGTCGGAGGAAACGCATTTCATTAACAAAAATACACTCACACATCCAGGAAAAAACAATGCATGCTTTCAGGCAGCATATGAAACACAATTAATTTTCCTTTTTTCTTTCTGAGCTGCGGAGACTGTAATTTCAGCACAGCTCCTTAGATCATAAATCCAAAGCAGTATTGACCCGACCCCCCAAAAAAATAAATAAATAAAAATCCTGTGTGCTAATACACATCAACAGCTCATCTGGAAGGTGAAAATTCTTACAGGTATACAACAAGCATATAAACAGAAGCACTCAGTTATCTTCAGGAGTACAGAGGAGATGGACGGATAGTAAACAGACCTTAAGACCAAAGTGTCTTACGCATTGTGGTTCGTGGGGTCAAATTCCAGGTTTGTGGGATCAAATCCTAAATTAACTGTATGTGCGTGTGTGTTTCCATCAAATGCTCAGCTTTTCTCCTAAAGCCCAGTGACTTGCAGTTATCTAAACGGTGGGCATGGACGTGCAAAATGATGGACTGGCATCCCATCCAGGGTTTCCTCTGCCTCATTCCTCGCGCCCATGAACAGGCTGGCAGGTGTGATAGGATTGAACATGAACTTCTCATGATGCTCACTACAAAAGAGCTACTCATATGGCCGACTGATGAATCCAAACAACCTCCTTTGCTCTGGGCTAAAAACGGCATTTCTCTGCCCTGCATTCTGAAAGCCCATCTTATGGGATGCGGCAATAGCGGCAAGACGCAAATTAAGCTCTGTGATTAAGGATTCCTCCCAATGTCCCAATGTCAGGGACACTGTAACCCCATTCCCACCAGAGTGGATGTCACTGTCATTCACCTATGCCTGCAAGGTGACAAGGATCAGAGAAGGAAATGTAGTATCTGAGTCTTTGGTGAAAAAAATTGTGACAGAGGTTTCAAAATTGCTCCTTTTCCCACCTTCAATTCTCTAGAGAAGAGAAGTTTGATGACCAGCCCATCAGGCTGCAAAATTACGATTCACAAATAGCGTGCGTGCAGAAATGATAATATCGACCCTGCATTGATCATTCTTTCATGAGAGAAACGTGTGTGTGTGGAATGATCATAGCTGTAGGGTTGCAGTCCAGTGAGATGTGGATCTTCCTGATGCACCTGACTGAAGACCATCGGCCTGTCGACCATTTTGGCTCTTGTATGTTCTGGAGGAACATGGAAAACAAGGTCAACCACCATGAGGGCAGGAATGTAAGCTTCATAACGAGAGGCCTGCTTTTCTTTGATCGTGTAGGAGTCTGGGATTTCGGATCTCTGAAGGCCCAGGACACAGGGTCAGTGATCCATGGCTCCATAATGAGCACGACCAAAGAGATCTTTCATTTGGGTTAAGTGATTATTGGATCTAGTAATTCATCCATCCATCCATCGATCCATCCATGCTTTCACTGCTTATTGTGGACAGACCTGGAAATTAATGTTATTCCAAAATCAGGAGGAAACAGCACTTTGATGCCCGGCGACCACAGTAGCTGGAAGGTATGTCAGATGTTCCCAGGGTAAATTTGACCATTTTCACAGTTCTCTCTGCTGCTCCCTCAGCGGCTCTCAGCCGCTCTTTCGGTGGGCTCAGGCACGCTTTGCTGCCACGGTATACCAGTGTATTTAATATACTGGCCCTGCTGGAACGCTGAGACCGGACTCCCCGCCGTTAGGTAATTCGCTACAAACAAAGAGCTGCATTCAACCCAGTGACTCCGCTCTTTGGCGGCTTGTCCGACTGACACATTCCAGGAGTCCTGTCGAAGCGTTCTTGTAGGGGAGAGTGAGAGAGCCAGATGGAGAAGAAGGGGGAAAGAGAGGGACAGCTGCGGGGCACGCGATGGAGGTGTAAAATAACGGCATGGGATAGAGGGAAGGGAAAACATGGAGGACGATGTGGAACATCACTCTTAGAGGATCTAAGGGTCTGGAATATTGCTGGAATAAGTCTGGAATGTTGGTAGCTCAACACCTAATAACAACAACCCTAAATTCAGTTTCCATGACGGGATGGAGGGAAGGGAGGCTCTCTTGTGGGGTTCATTGGCAGACAGCGCTAACCTCTGCTGACGGTCAGGCCCCGAGGGCTGTAATGAGACACATGGCACGACGTACGCTGCACAGATGCACAGAGACAGTTCGATGCTGGGCACCGGCTCAGGCACCCGTCCACCGAGAGAAATGGGGCCAAGAAGCAAAGATCTGCAGGTCCTTTTCCCTCAGCTGCCAAAGCGTGGCGGCTATTTGCAAGCTGGAAGCTGGCATGACAGACAGAAAGCTAACTACTGGAACAGAGTTTAGGCTCTAAAGGAATTCTCCGACATTTACTGAGTGACGGACCGCAAAATGAGGCCAAGGCTTCTCTCTTGGCCAGATTTAATGTAAAGAGCTTCACGATATGTTACTTTGTTCTTTATTGCACGCTGAGCTGGGGTTTGAAGGGTATATATAAGAAAGATCCTGGTGTCAGGCTTGTTTAGTTAGCAGCTGACTGACAATCTGTCAGGCTCTTGTAAACCATGCTGCTAACTGAATGCCTTACTGTGCGCTAACAGCTCTTTGCCAAAATGCCAAACGTCCCTATTTAACAAGATTTGGGAGTCAATCCTAGATTTGAAATTAGTCAGAGGCAGGGTAGGGTGGAAACATCTGCCCTGTCGTGAGTTAATTCATGCTTTGTGCTTGTAGCTTCCGAAATAGGCCCTGAACCCACGAGACCCTACGTAGGTCAAACCAGTATGGAAAATGGTCGGACAGATGGATTTATAAGACCACCTACTTCTGGGATCAACACAGGGTATGCTGCCATGACAACGGCTGCCTGTTGCTTGGGAGCAGAACATCCCAGTTCCCAAAGGCTAAGTTAGGAAGTGACTCAGGAAGAAATGACATTTGAAGGAAATGTTCAAGCATAAAATCACATTCCCTTCCACTACAGGCATGTGGGGGTCAGAGGGTCACTTAAAAATACTACCAGCATCTGCAGCAAGCAGTTCTCTCTCCTGGTCCAATATCATCTCATGATTATTCTCAGAATAAGAGAGATCTGCAGCTGGCTGTTCCCTCGAGGCCTCGGGGTCTGAGGAAAGAGTTTAGCTGGAAGGTCTCATAGAATCAGTCCTGTGGGTTCCAAGGAATATGTTTGAACTGACTCCAGACTGACGCTTGAAACAGCAGGTAAGGCAACTTACAATCCACATAATTATTTTAGCACAGGTGGCTTGGATGAAAAGACCCCCACACCGCCAGCCTCTGGCCCCCGTCCACGTCATGGGGTCTGGGACAGTCTGTCTGAGTGCCTGAATCCTGTGCTTCATCTCTGGGCACAAAAACGAGTGTTGACTACAGACTGGAGATGGCCATCGGGATGTTCCTACAGATCCTGCTCGTTTTGCTATTAAGTAAGCATACATTTTGGATGTTCAAGACAAGAAGATGGGAATCTCTTCACTGGGAGAGATTTTGTGCGAAAACCCATAAAAAAATAGCGGAACGGGCCTTCAAAGTATCTCACGGAATCACAAAGTGTCGAATTATGATGTTTGAAGTGTCAGAACTATAAAATAAACCTGCTTTCTCTTCTCCTCACTTGTTGCCGCGATGCACCTGTTCCCAGCTCACACAAACCCTCCACAGTTCATTTGTTAAGTGTATTCATCTGTAAATATTATTTTCACATCTATCGCCTCTCCTGGAAATGTGAGCCGATTTTCCACTTCTCTACCTGTGTGTTTCCCTCCAAGACAACAGACTGTTGTGAACATGTGTGAGCATTTCTCTGCTGAGTCTCCTTCTGGGGTGATAATTATCTTAACTAATTATTAAATAAGTACCGACTTATGTCAAGATGTGCCAAAGCCATTTGGTGGAATAACTGAACTATTTATAAAAGAAACTGGCCGGGTTATCAGCATGTCCAGTGCATGTAAGCCAATTAAGACATTTCCAGGTCTAATTCATGAAATAGCAGGTACTGTGTTTCTCCTATTGGAGTGTTGCCAAGCAGTTTGCTCTGATAAATCGTTCAGATGGACGCCTGCACAGTGCCAGGTGGATTGGGCTGCGGGGAGCAGTCCCACAGCGCCAGGGACATTACCTTTATTCTGACAGCAAAGGGGGGTGACTGACAAACAGCCTCTGACTAACGGCTGCCATCCGCTGGCTAATGGGGGAGCATTTCAGGGCTAATATCGGCAGCGTTAATGACGTCAGCGTCCGTCCAGCGCAGGGGACTTTAATTTCTACCGCAGGTCGGCCTTCGTCGCCTGCGTTATTCCTGGCACACACTCGCAGATGAACATGTGAGGCTGCTTTTGTTTTAAATTACGCTCATCGCTGCGATTCGGCAGCCGGTTAACCCCGGGGGAGCGATCGGGATGCAAAATAAATTACGCAAATATCCCCTTAATGTGTCCGAATACAAACATCACACCATCTCCTTATGTGCCGAGCTACACTTTGGCTAATGCGGGAACACAGCAGTGGGGGTTTTACATTGGGTGCGGGAGCGGGGGGAGATTAAGGGAGTTTTCGTGTGTCGAGTTCCGAGGCATATGAACCCCACACTTCTGTGCTGTTTTTGGAAACAATTAAATAGTAATAATTACTATTTTTACTATTTCCCCAATTCCTGCGTGTTACCAAGCCTTCCCGGAAATGACGAGCAAAGACGAAGCCTGCTGACACCTTTCAGTTGCAGCCAGATTCTTTTCACGACCATTTCATGTAAACAAATCAATAAAAACAACAGCTAGCCAGATTCTAATTAGATTCTTTGACAGCATTATACATTAAATGCAAAATGACTTATGCATGCAAAAGCAATCTGTGACACTGCTTGCGTATAACTGCTGAACCATATAAGGGCTAACTGGAACGATCGGCTGAGGAAATAATCATTTAAGAATAGGGGCGCAGCAGATAGATGCACAATGCGTCCACGTGGGGGCACTCTTCCCCTGTCTGCAGGTTGAGTACCTGGTTCAATGAGTTGGAATCAGAGCTCCGACCTTTACATAAATTGACAGCCTTCAAATTATGAGTCCATGTCCTTAACCAGTACGTGACCTGTGCAGTTTAGTGGCATCTGAAGTTAGGAGCTCAGGCAGAGTAGGACAGGAGCAATTTATGTGTCATTAACTTCATTGGGGCTCATGCATGTGATGGAATCAGACCTTGGTCTCATGGCATCCCAGTGCCCTTGTTAATCCGGCCTGCATTGCACGTACCATCCAGCTTCCAGCCAAGCTCCTTCTCCACAAAAGCCAGGCCTGATGCACTCATCCGATTCTCGGTTCTTCAGCATCTCCCTTTGTCCCTGACCCTGTCCGAAGACCGAGAGGAGAGGAAAAGGCCGTTCTGGATCCAATGTTTGACACTTGTTGTCCTCCGGCAATCATTCGTGATTCTACCTGGACCTTGGACAGGAGGAACCTTCCAGTGTGTTATAAAGCAAACTTGAGTGGAAATGAATTAGTAGTAATATCAGGGCTTGAAGTTGTTTTGTTCACCTGAGAGATTAACCTGCCAGAAACGGACAATGCTGACTATCATTTAATCTGACCATAATGACTATAACAAGGCTATATTAGGGCTTAACAATGATACATATAGATATATGAAGGATCATAATTGAATGTAATAACTGAGCAAATGGCTTTTTTTGCGAGTCTATCGGCTATCAGCCTCTGACTAAATGCCCCCAGTCAGCAAAGTGAACTGGGGTCTATGGGGATAGTATTAGAGCAGGAGCCCATTTTTCTGAGAGGAATTAGTGCAATTTCTGGTGCATTCATTAGCTCCAATTTTCTGTCTAAATGGCAGTTATCCCAAAGGGCCTGTCTACTGTATGAGAGTGCAGGGAAACATGGGCGATGACGTGGGAAAGGGGGCAGAGCTCAGAGCACGATGCTTTTAAAGGAAGGGGCCAGCTCCGGCCAGATGGGCCCAAATTGGAGAGAACTGCAAAATCAACAACCCTACATGTTTTACAAATGGCCTCAGAATTCTGAAATTGCTCCCTTACGCCGATAAAAAACTTTATCACGCTGAAGAGTACTTCTCTAAATGCACGAAAACAAGTTTTATTCCAAATATAACAGTAAGCTGTTAACTTTAGTTTTTCAACAAAATTAATGCCTGCACGGCAGTGAAAATGAACTTTGGCGATACTTAGAAAAGATGTTTTGTGCCTTAAGGACCAATTTGTAAGCGCCCTCTGCTGGTGTGGAGGTGCTACTACCACAGCTCACCTCCACATCACCTCTGACAGCCTGCAATTTGATAACTTCTCCAAGACCAACATGTCAGAGATCTTCATACTGGACAACAAGAGAACAGCATACCTTAAGAAGCTGGTTCCTCGCACATAACCACGCAGACTTTTTGATTTTTCATCTTGAGAAGAAGTTTGACAGCTTTCCATTATAAAGAACAACATGGAGATTGAATTTACAGAGCCAACACATGCTGTGTTTTTTGTTTTACCTCAAAAGGGTCTGAAGAACATTATTATCTCTTTTTAAAGGATAGTGCACAGTTTTTCCATAATCTTGATATGTGTCAGAGAAAAGCAAATGTGATCAGCCCACACACAGATGAAGGGAAGGACTATTTAATGGTATCTTTTAAACTACGGAATTCCTTTAATGTGATCTACATTTCTAGGCCGAACATGGACAGTGGGGTTAGTTTGAGTCATTAACGCTGATTAGATGTTCAGTGACTCTCAGTGAGATAGGCAGCCTTCTAAAAAAATTGATGTAATATTAAATATTTAACATATCCAGTCAGTTTTAAATGTATCTATGTTGCATTACTGCCCGCTAAAATGAAAAGTCACTGACCTTTTCATAGTTTTGGTAGCTTTTCAAGAAAACTGACCAAAATTCATCTTCCAATCACACTTTGCTTTCCTCTTGCCTTTCTTTTCATAATTTTTCCAAGCATTAATTTTTCTTTGATTCTCTGCCATGTGGGCGACAGTGTGTTCCCAGTCTGTTTGCTCTTTTCGGGTAAATTGGGCCCAATTAAAAAAAAAAAGAACGAATCCCGGGGTTAAAGTGTCTTTATGCTTTGCAATGTGCCGGCTGCATAATTTGGCCATAATTAATCTTACGAGGAAGACCAGTCTTGTAAACACGACAGTGTGAAATGTAAGCTCCCCAGTCAAAAAAAGAAGATAAATTAACAGGATTCTTTGATCTTTAACGATAAAATCTGCAGCTGTTTGGGGAGAAAAAAAGGTTTATATACAGACCAGCTGGTAAGTCCTGCCGATTCCCTCTAAATTAAATGATGTACCTGAATTTCTGCCAAAGCTGGGTTGTTTAAACGATTGTTGTTCTGTCTTCCAGGTGATGCTGTGACAAAGTCAGACGGAGTGACTGAGGGGTGACAGGGTGTCAGAGAATCTAGCCAGAGTCCACTGTAGCGCTCCATAGACCAGGGCACCAAACAGGGTTTGTGTGAAAACAGACAGAATACCATTCGGCACTGTATTCTCTAAATCACTTTAGTTCCAAAACCGAAGCCAAAGACAGAATCAGTCAGAATGTTCCAGAATGTTCCTGTTCTCCTCTAAGCTGTCCAGAGTCCACCTGCTCCTCAAATTAGCTCTTATGCACATGGTGTGAAAATCACCCGACTTTGAAATACAGTCATGTGTCAACAAAAGCATAAATCCCATTAGGATTCTATGTCTTAGGAGTGTTTAAAAAGGGCTTAAACATCACAGACATAAACAATTTTCAGACACAACCACCAGTGAGACAACGCCTCTGGCATAAGTGTTTATCTGTTGCATATATGACCTTCATCGTGACACAGACAAGTACACAATTATACTGATAAGCAGAAAACTCCAGACTACACATCTATCTTTCCTTAGATGGTCACCAACAAGACCTGGGCTCAACAACTCTGATGCCCAGAGGACCTTCTGCACTGTGACAGAGGTGAGCATCACTGAAGCCGCTGGAACAGGGGCCAGGCCGATCAAAGGGAGAGATAAGCAGACTGCTCTGAAACGCACATTGTTCACCTAGCCCACACAGAAAGCCCGGGCATCTGCACAGAACTCCAGCGCCCCCTACAGGTCTAGTTTCAAAATGACAAGCTGACAATATTAACAGACAGTCCATTTGGAATATGGACTTATAAAGGGAGGGACGTTCTTGCACGAAACGTTTAATGAACAGAAATTTATGGAACTGGAAAGGTCTGTAGATACTAGGTAGTGTCAGAAGATTCCGGAATCATACCACCAAACAGAGGCAATCTTGTGTTAATTTCCTAAGAAAACAGATTTGGAAGTTGGGCAGAGGTCTGAGACAGAAGCTGGTGCTGGTAACGGAATCCATCATATGACTGGAATCCAAGGCTTAATCCAAGGTGGCGCTGAGGTGAAGTTTGACCCAGGTTGACACCGAGGTACCCAAAGATTGAGTAACCCTGCCTACCTGGCAACAAATGCCTGTAGCGGCATCTCTGCCGTGGAATCTTCCAGGCGTGGATCTGGGAAATTAACGTAGGCATTGTTTATCTTCTGTATTTTCAGTTTGGAGTTTCCAGTTACAGCTGCAGGCCCCCAGTGCCCTGGGGAGTGATTGGGAGGCAGACTAAGGACAGGCTGGCTGGGTCATGTGGAGGAACCCCGGAGGTCACAGCTGAGGATGCCGAAGTGGATGCGTAGCTGCTCGAGGAAGATGAAGGTGAGAACTGTGTGAGGGATGAGCCGGATTCCGGCGGGAACCAGACCCTGCAATGCGATTGGTCAGCTGGTCAGAGTGAAAAATGCAGCCTGATAAGGACACTGGAAGACGAGTGTATAAACCACGCCGTTCCACAAGCCCCCATACCTTGTAGAAAGCCAGGGGTCCCAGTCGAGCCGTGTCCGTCAAACAGTGAACTACTCCCTGCAGTGCCGGGGAAAGGGTCACTCACAGTGCCACTAGAGGGCGTAACACACACAGGCACACGCTGCCTTGCAGCCTCACCCTATATTCTCCTTTAGAATTCATCAGCCGAGTCTTCATCACGTCCAGCGGCTGACACAGGACGGTAGCACAGCCACCCTGTGCAGAGAGTGCAGGGAAGTGGTGTTGGTGGTGACTCATAGTCACATGACCTCTTCAGCCAGTCATTAAGGTGGGGCTGATTAATTCAGGCCGCGAGTGGGCGGAATCAGAGAAAAGAGCACGTACTGCGATCAGACTGGCCAGGAAGTGGGTGGCGATGTTGTCGGACATGTCCCCGGTGCCGAGGACCAGCTGCTTCGCCTGGTCATAACAGGACAGCTATGCACAGGCAGGTATGTTAGAACGCAGAATACAGCGTATCTGTTTCACGCACACACACATCAGCGCTCCATCACCTGCCCCACGGTCACCATGGCCCCTCTGCTCGATGCCATCGTGGCTCCAGAGAAAAGCTTCCTGAGTCCTTCTGTGGAGACAGACACAGTGTGGATCACACCGATGGACACGGGGACTGGCAGCAGTAAAACTTTCAAATAGAATCAGCCCCTGGCCACTTAGACTCCAGCGCACTCTGACCCCAGCCACCTCATGCAGACTTTGACCCACTCGAATCCCACCTCAGGTGACTAATCCAATTGCAGGGTCAATGCATAGCTCCGCCCCACTCAGGCCACGCCCCACTCAGGCCACGCCCCCACTCAGGCCACGCCCCCACTCAGGCCACGCCCCCACTCAGGCCACGCCCCACTCAGATACCGCCCCACTCAGACCCCAACGTCTGTATCTTGCCTTCTTTCCAGACTCGGATGAGTCCATCCAAAACATGAGCATAGCTGTGAAACAGAAACAAATGGTTCAGCAGCCAGGGTGGGGGAAACAGCTGCAGCCTCCACAGTTGCATGTGGCCAGATTTCAGAGCACAAAATAAGTCCCGTTTTTGCTCCAAAACCTGAAATACTCACTTTCTCCTGAGTTGTGGTGGCAGCTTCACATCATTCTGCATCCTGTAAAATAAAAAAAAATTATCAGAAGTTTTCCCTTGCTCCCATCACAGACAAGTATTTACTGACACGAAGACATAACCGATTATCGTCCGATGTGCTTATAAAAACCACAAACCATATCAACCTTTCATGTGGTATCACTGACACCTAGCGGATATTCTGTGAATTACAGCTAATTTGTATCACTGTAGAGCAGGGTTCTTTAAATCTGGATATTCCAAACCCAGGCCGTGTTTTCAGTTCTCCCAGGTAGTTAGTTTAATAATGACTGATTCCGATTGGTCAGAGGCTTCACACCTGGCTCACAGATAAAGGAAGGCAGGACAATCAGCAGGGCTCGGACCTCGAGGACCGTCATTTGAATAATAGGGCTGTAGAGTGTTCGGAAAATGCAAGTTTTTCCATCTATTTATCTTTTAATGGCTTATTCTGGTGAGAATAAGGGGGGCCTCGAGAAGCCAGGCCACATACACAACCATTTTAGAGATGCCAATTAGCCTAATTACATATTTTGGGACAGTGGTGTGACATTGGGGGATCTCTAGATACGCTGAGGGGGTGTGGAATTCAAATCCCACAAGGGCACAGTGCCACCCATTCAGCCACCGTGACTCACCTGACGTTGACCATGTCTGCTGGGGTCCCCATGAAGCCACCAATGAGCCCTGAGGGCGGGGCAAAAAGACAGCCTATCAGGCTTTACAAAGTGAACCTGTGGTTGTGATCAGTCATGAGGATGAGAGATTGGTGCATCGCTAAATGCTTCAGCCAATGGCACAAAAGGACACCGTCAACGGTGAGGTCTCCACTGACTTGTACCACACGCACACTCACCTCCGAAGGCCGCCAGCAGCACTTTCTGGTAGAACGGAATCGGGCCCTGGTTCCCGCTGGTCATCATGTCGCGCACCGTCTCATAGATGGCAAAGCGGGTCATTGAGTATGATATCTGAACCCGAAGCCATGACAGGGACATATCAATGGCACAAGCCTACACGACCAGACCAACATCCTTAAAACACCCGCTTATCACAACAATCGTGTTGTTCTTTATATTCCAGTCAAATCAAGGGAAACCGATTTGGCAAAATATCCTGATTGGTTCTAAGGTGCATTAGGATGGCACTGCAGTCCACCCATCTGTCCCATAACCGCTTATTCTGCTCAGGGTTAGCTGACGCTTGGCACTGCCCGCAATGCTGGGGAACAACCTGCGCCCAGGTTTGGCATTTGTGGATTCGACCAACCGGCGGTCGAAAATATTTTTTAAATAAATAAATAAATAATCTGTGTTTTTCTCCACTGAACATACTAACCTTTATCTTGTCATTATTCTCTAAATAACAACTATTTACAGTACATGGCATTTACTTTGTGTTAGGTATTGTAAGTAATCTAGGGAGTATTTTAAGTATACTGGAGGGTTTGTGTAGGTTATATGCAAATACTGTGCCATTTTATATAAGGGACCTGAGTATCTGTTGGTTTATGGTGATTTCGGGGGCCCTACAGAGGTGGAAAATTCAGGTCCAGAATGTAAAAATCCAGACCAAGGTTTTGTTTCAACCATCTAGTTGAGCATAAAATGTCACAGTCCAAGAGCACTTCACTGATTGGTTGAGACAAAATCTTGGTCTAGATTTGTACTTTAAGGACCTGAAATTTCCACCTCTTGGGTCCTGGAACCAATGCCTCATGAATACTGAGGGACGACTATACATAGACAGTCATACGCTAGAGATATGACATACGGAGAACATGGAAACTCTACACACACACACAGAGGGGAGAGTCTTGAGCCCCCATACCTGGAGATGGGGGGGCAACAAGGCTACCGGCTGAACTATTTTGCCACTCCGTACATATTTCATAATAACCTAAGTGTTACTGTGAAATGAGACAGACTTGGAAACTGACAGTAGGTGGGATTACCACACTCAGCCAATCACTGCCTGGTTTGACCCAATAGGTGTCAATAAAGTAGCCAATCAAAAATGGAGTTTGGGAAGCCTCACTCCTACCATTACCACTATTTTGTTCCTTGATGAAATGTGACACCAACCTGCCTGCAGAGGGAAGCACTGAGGCCGCTGTAGAGCGCTAGGACCCCTTGGTGCCGCACCACGGAAACAGCCATCCCCGTCATCCTCAGCTTCACCTCCTGCTGCGTCTGCAGGTGGACCTGGGGACGGGGAGGGCGGGGTCAGCAGCAGGCACATGACCTTGGCAGCCCAATCACATACAGGAGCGTCTTGCCTTCTCAATCACTGATTACTGTTATTTAATAGGATGTTGCAAGGAATGGGGAATGGGATTACATCACTCAATCACTGTTAGGACACAAGAGTCACTTCTGGCGTGGATTTCCATGCTCCAAGTTGCCCCAGCACCACAAAAAGGTGAATTAGCAAGTCATTTCTAAATATAAATATTCAGATCATACCAAAAATTTGAATCCACGTACAAAATATATATTCAAAAAATGAAAACCCGGTGCCCCTGATTTATTCGGGATTTTAAAAAGTTATTTTCAAAATGTGCTTATTTGTCTTATACCATAAGCTGCTCCCTCCAAAGCGTCCTGCTTCATGGCACCAGAACCAGCTTCCATGCCGAGCCGTTATTTGACACCAGAGAAATGGCACGTCTCAACCTTTCACGGTGTCTCTGTTTATTGGGCCGAAGGTCACACGTCCCACCACCCCTCCCTCCCTCTCCCCTCAGCATAGCTGTGTCAGTTGATGTTCCTACTTCAGCCAATCTCACAGGCAAAAGGGCAAAACCCCCAACCCTCATTTTCTGTTAAATCTAAAACTCATTCTGAAGACTGAGTATAAAGATACATCGTCAAACAGAATAACCAGAGGTGTCGTGTCCGATTAATGTACCCGACTGAAATTAACCATTAATTAGAAACCATCTTCAGTTGAACAGCTTTCTTCGATTTCATGACCCTGCAGAAAACCCAAACTCAGCAGCCACCTGCTCCGCAGCGATCAGCACACGTACAGCCTTTTTCCTAAGAAGGGAGGGTCATACTCAATTGATACTGAGCCAATCAGCCGGTGACAATAAGTGCTGATAACAAAGTTTGTTATAAATGCATCTTTGAGATCTCGAAAAGCGCTATATAATGAAAATGTATTATTATTATTAAGTGGTCGCCTTATCGGGTATGTTAGCATTATGTATAAAGAAGAGGTAGCCTATACAAAGTGCCTTAAAGTAGAATAACGTCGGAAATTTAGCGTTCTGCAATGTCTGCGCATCCAATGCATTTTGAAAAGCGTAATAAATCACAAATCAAATTCGTGGGGTCTCCGGTTGAACCACCATATGGGGGCAGAGTACTTGTTTGACAAAAGTGCTTAAAACGGACTAACCGGTGACCTCCGAGGCGACTCCGGATTTGGACACTACCTGTAAATTGCTGGTCTCAGTAGCGCGACAGCAGTGATTTTTAATTTCAGTCCAGCCGGGCTGTCAGTATGAACTCTCCCTGCCACCCCTGGTTTCACACTGACAGCCACCATTCATCATGCTCTTACCTTGATGAGGTCTAGTGGGTGTGTGCAGCAGGCGGCTCCGCAGGACGCGATGCCCCCGAAGTACCAGCGGGACACCCTCTTCTCCGGCATGCCTCTCAAACACGGCTCTTCATGGGCAGAGACGCAATCCTGTCCTCCGCCGCCCGACAGCTTAGGTTCGGATGGGGACGCAGGAGCCTCGATCGCTACACTACTGCTGATTTACTGCTCAGATAGTCTCCTGACCTACAAGCAAGATAAAGACGTAAGCTTTCATCAGCAGGGAAGAAAGCTGAAAGGACTCAAGGGGGCGTGGTTCGAAAAGTAAAACTTCCTCAAAACTTCCTGTATTTCCTGTATAGTCAAATGAGATTAGGATTCATCGCTTGCAAGCAAATCGGTGCAGATTTACAGAATCAGTCATGGGCGTCGTTAGGTCCGATCACTCGGGGGTATAACCTCGAGTATTTTAAACCTAGCCCAGAGTATTTTAGCATCTAATGTCAATCTTCCCCCAATAAATAAGTAAATAAAAGGCAAGCCCCAGGTAAACTTAACTTAGCCCCTGATCTGTTCGATAGCTAGAAACTCTCCTGGAATGAGCACATATAAAAAAAAATCACCTCTACAGACATGGAATGCCTTTAAACAAGTGTGCAGTGCGATTGGATTCAGCTAAGAACCCATTCAACCGGTTCTTAAAGGGCCAGGCGGACTTACAGAGGTATGGACCTGGACATCAAGGGCGGCAAATCCAGCTTCCAGCTGGTTTAGTGAATTTTGGTTCTTAACTGGTAAGAGCTATTAGTAAGTAAATATTGGGGAAAACTGAAGATTATTTGTTAACATGAATGAGAACATTTTCTAAATTTGTATACTTTTTCCAAAAACTTTTAAAACAAAATTCAAAATGATGTGGAATATTTACTTAATTTGTGCAAATATTGTTGATTTCAGATATTTTACAATAGCCTAGGCTCCTTTTGTCTGCCTTCACTCGCAAAGTAAAAAGCAACTGTAAATTCTCTCTATTGCTGCAAGTAGGCTATACAATTCACTGTCACGCTGTAGTAGAGGTTTATGTGTGACAAAACATCAAAAAATAGCCTATTTTCCCCTCAGTGTGTCGTTTCATCTCGTGTGTCCAAACTGTGCCAAGAAAGGCTGCAGCTGCCTTCTGAACATCAGCTTATGTGACTAACATATAAATAGCAGCTGGCTTTTCACTCATATTCATGTGCACAAGTGGCTGCAGGTTTCCGAATACAATCATGTCGTAAGGTGTCGTGCAGCTCGCTGTGTGCTAACGTAAAAAAAAAACAAAACACGCAGCACATTTCCTACCTGTTTTAGTCAGAATTGTCGTGGACGGCAGAAAGTGATTTTACCCAGTCCCAACATCTGATGAATATCACACGACGAAGAACTCCAAAATGAATGCAGTTATCGTCAGTACGAATACAGACGTATGGAAAACAGGCACGGTGATAAACGCGAATCGTAGTCGGTTTAACAGTCGCGGCTAAGCCAGTGATTTGTTAATATGCAGACTCAAGTAGGGCAACCACCGGCATAACACTAAAAAGGAGGACACCCACGTCCAAAAAGGAGGACTAAGGCTCAAAGAGGAGGACACCCACACCCAAAAAGGAGGACTAAGGCTCACTATTGCAATAATTATCGTTAACCCACACCCAAAAAGGAGGATTAAGACTCACTATTGCAATAATTATCGTTAACTTGAGAGAACAGCATTTAGACCAAGGGTGGGGGAGAATGGCACTAATTGTTGATGCAGAGGCAGGTAAGGGGGAAAAGCGGACAAGGGGGCTGAAAAGAGGACACCCAACAGCAGTCTGGACTGGCGGGAAAATCGGACTGTATGGATGAAATCCGGATGATTGGTCACCCTAGACTCAAGGGATACGTTTCACAGCTGTTCGGGCTCTGGGTTAGGTGACTGGGAGTCATGCCCAATCATGAAAGCCAAACTCAATAGGAGTGAAGGTATGAGGGTCTCAGGACCAAAAAGTAAATGCAACATACGAATGGATGTTTAGTGGGCACTGAATTACCAAGTAAAGGGGGGTCAGTGAGGTACAGGGTATCAGACTAGGAACTCATACACCCCAGTCTGCTTGGTCTGATGGAAGGACGCCCCCGGAACAGAACAGCTTAACCACAGGTCAAGAAAAACTCGGAACTGTACAACAGATGACAGGGGCGCTGTAAAGGCGAAGAAAGATAGGACAATGCCGGGGGCCCCTTAATGACAGGGACCTAAAAAACTGGAACATATTTGTATTGTCTGGGTTGGGGGGCCTATATATGTTTTCATTGGTACCAAAATCTCTAATGGCACCCCCCCCCCCCTTCAGGAATCTTCAAATCCAATAATGTTCCCAAAGATATAGTATGAATACATCTAACATTTGCCTAGATTTAAAAGAGACAAGAAGGATATTTGATTTCCTAAAAATGAAACCTAAGACATATCATATTTTGGTTAGAAATATATACAGACGCTCCTCTACTTACGAATGAGATGCGTTCCAAACGGCCGTTCGTGACTTGAACTGTTCGTAAGTTGTCATTCAACATCATTTTAAGGGTATATACAAGTACTAAGAATTAGGATGCTGGGAGTTTGCACGCTACGCTGCTGCGTGGCGGGAGTAGCGGCCATAAGTCGTACTAGGCGGAATTGGTGCGCAGAAAAAAAAAATTGATGTTGTGGACAGGAAACGGGAGCCCAATGAACACAATTTGGACTTACAGTCCTCTTCGTTCGTATGTCTCAAAGTTCGTAAGTAGAGGAGCATCTGTAATCTTAGTTTCCTGGATACCCTTTAGTAAGCCGCAAATAAACGTTTTGGGTGAAATCTGTTCTTGAGAATTTTACTGGACTCGTTAATAATACCGCTAATACTAGGCTGTAATACTGTAATAATGTTTAATAAAACAGCAGCAGTGCCCCCTAATGGTTCAACTGGGTACTACTGAGAAGCAAATACTGTAGCACTCACAAGAATGACATTTCTTAAAAGGGGCAGTTCACCCCAAAACTGTAAAAAGATGTTTTAGAACGATTTTGGTGCTATCTATCCATCTAGGTTGGCTAGTTTTCGAAGGTAACGGCTGTAGATGTAAATGCCAGTCCCCTCTCGAATAAAATGGGACTGGACTGAATTTTTTCGGTGGTGTTTCAAGTGGCAAGAAATACATTAGAAAAATTCAACAGCAATGTTTCTTACCAGAAATCATGACCCGGTTACTTATGATAATCCACAGACTTTGTAGTGAGCAGCTTAATGTAGGAACTATTTTCTTTGACCCAACTTCACATTCCAATCAAATCAAAGTCCCAGGATGCTCATATCATCTGCGCAGTGACACGATTGGTGTGTGGAGTATGATAGAAGAAAACTGTCCCTAAATTAAGCTGCTCACTACAAAGACCAACATTTCTATGGCCAAAACTAGGCAACTCCCAGCAGAACAACCTAGATGGATAGATAGCACCAAAAAGGGTGAACTGGCCCTTTAAAGTCTCCGGCACTAGTTCAAACATCCCCCTGCTTGAGCTTTCATCAGACTAGCAGCTGAGTTCATTGGCACTGCCCTCACAAAAATGTAAAACAATTCAGTGCCATTTCTGTTTTAATGCTGACCCGATAACACAAGTACAGAGTACATCTCACTTTCTGTATCAAATCACATGTTTAATTCACCACAGGCAATGGAACTCTGAAGTCCAGAGAGCTCCAGTACCAGACAAAACCTTCGGGAGTCCAGCATATTTGTTACTTGACAAAAAACTTGGACACAGAGCCCTGGCCAATGAAATCTCACATGTGGGTAGCTGGACCCGGCCAATCAGCTCTCAAGCTGGCCAGACTTCGTCCCAAGATCCATGGCCTGGCTTCAGTCCAGCCCCGCTCCCTGTCGAGCAGCGGCAGAGCGCGTGGCGCTGAGAGAATACTGCTGTCGTGTGCCTTATGTCGGTAAGGAGGGGGAATGGGCGGAAATGAGCAGGAAAGGGCGAAACGCTCCAGCACAGGGGGTCTACTCCAGCACCACAGTGCCCCCTGCTGCCTCCAGAGCTGCCTTCATCTTCTCTGCCTCTTCTTTGGACACGTTCGCTCTGATCTCCTGTGGTAACGACTCCACCAGCTTTTTTGCCTGAGTGGTAGTCATCATGGGGAAAAGTTCACCATTAATGGTTATGCAGGTTTTCCAGCATGTTCGTAAAACATCTTTAGAAAAATCTCCCGTTATAATTAAGTTTGTCAGACTCTGTGGATGCTTTTAAAAAACATTTAAAAACCTTCTTGTCTAGTCAGGCTTTTGTTTCGAATTTCTATTGATATTAATTGTATTATCATTATCTGTATCGGTTATTTTAATTATTAATGATTATTAATGATTCTTGTTTACTCCTTTTCAATTTGTGGTATAGTGCTTTGTGGCTACATGTTTGTGAAACACTTTATAAATAAAACTTGCTTACTTAAGACATTTCTGTGTGTTCATATGGCTGACTAACACTAGATACTACTCAACCCTACCAAACGGAAAACACATATTCAAACAAGTCTCCTAAACAGCAGAACTGCATGAATGGCACCCCCACAAACCAAAGACAGCTTCCAGAAGTCGCCATCCTTGAAGACATTTTCCCACACAAAGTCACACAAACAGCATCTCCATACCTGTACGAGGTTCAAGCCTTGGACGCAGTTCTTCACTTCCTTGATGAGCTTGACCTTGTCAGCGGCCTTCAGCTCTGTCAGTTTCACAGTGAAAAGGCTCTTCTCCTTCATTGGTGCTACCTCTTCCTCCGCTGCCTAGGAACGAGAAGAAAAAAAACCTCCCTTTAGATTCAGTTAGAACACTTGGGGGGGTTATGAGGACCAGTCATCCTTATTAACCAATAAGAAAAGACAAGTAACAGGTAAATAAGGCCCAGTAGTACTCAAACTAGCAGATAGGTGGAGCCATACCTGAGTAGCAGGTGCGACTGGGCCCGCCATTGCCCCTGTGGGAAGGAGACCAATATCCTGGATATTAAGCGTTTTCTGTAAAGAACACAACAGGTGATTAAGACTTAAAGGTGTGGCTATTATGAATCTAGTCAAATACGCACTCTGCCAGCGCATAGGATAAAAACACAACTGGCGGCATCCAGGAGGCAGTTCTGCCGTACCTTGAGGAGCTCGTTTAGGTCAGACACCTCCAGCAGCGTGAGACCGGCGATCTCATTGACTAGCCTTTGGATTTTTGGGGAGTACTGTTTGGGGGCCCCATCCAGCGGCGGCGTGGGGAGGGCATCGGAGGAGCAGGTCGGACTCGTCCTCAGACACCGAGCAGCACACAACCCTGATACCCAGGGGTCCTGCCTGAAAGATGGAAGCATCACTTTGCACCACAAGGACAATCACATGTGACGATCGCCTTTCACTCGTTACTGTCACAATCTCTCTCGCCGTCGGACTTCATATACTCTCTCGACTGTTTAAACTGGTCTGCTGGTTACTCTAAAACATGGCAGCTGAATTAAACACGAATTTAAGACGCATGTTTGAATTTATAAAACGATATTACGATGTAGATACAGCAATATTTTAGCAAAGCAACAGAGACCATTAATATTAGGTACATAAAGACGCTTTCCTGTCCAATTTAAAACGCTGACGAAATCATAAGCAATGCGGAATATTTTCCTGCAGAGAGGAAATCTTAACATTTGTGGACTCGTACTAGATCAGACCGTTGCCCTTGAACCTCCTCCCCGGTCCGTTAAGTCCTCACCTGGGTGCCTTCGCCGCCAACCACAAGGCAGCCCGGATGCACTGTCTGCTGCGGATCATACCGGCGATGTCCCAGGTACTCTGTATCAGATCTGCGGTCCTGATCTTTCCCCCGGTACGCTTTTGTTCCCTTCTACCTGTATGTCCCACCGCCTAAACGCACATGGCGTCCGCCAGTCGATTCTGTTCCTCCCACAATGCACTGCGCGCCGTGACGTATAAGACACACATTAAGACCCCAGTTTGTAGTTTTTTCCCTTCATTTGTAGTTTTGAATGAGCTTCGCATTGAAGTTATGCATTTATCGAGCTAAAAAGGTAATGAGATTACCCCTGGCATGGCACCTGAAAGGCAATGTCCTGAACTCTGCTCTGGAAAAGGTGCTTGGACCCTCTTACTGAGATAATCTCTAGTCCAGTGAGCAAACCAATCGCTCACAGATCACGAAGGTAGTCAGCAGTGAAATGTACTGCTAAATAACAGGTTTAGTTTGGTTTTGGGCTGGTTAAGAGAACGTCTTTTTTTTATCTCAAAGCAACCATGGGTTTTAATTCAAAATAGAATTGTTAATTTTTATATTTTATCAGTGCAATTTGCATATCAGTGCTATTTGTATATTTAGTGCAATATGTAGGTTCTTAATATACTTTTATTATGCCTCACATTGAGTCGATTGCATTTCAATTTCGTTGTTCAAGTGACAATGACAAAAAAGATTTCTCCATCTTTTATTTTTTTAGAAGCAGCAACCCCATATTGGATGCTTTGTTACCAAAATAATAGGCTTATTTTAATATTGTCAGATTCATAGGAAAGCAGAGCTCATCTCCTGACGTATTTCTCTGTATATGTTTTCGTTCATTAATTCATTCTTCTACTCCAGTACAAAGGTTATCAGCCGCTTATATAAAATGCGGTTTTGTCTACATGGACGGCCTGCTAATGGTAGAGATTGTGAGCCTTTGGTCCAGGGACAATATTCATAATTCTAAACTGCATGATTCTTAAACGGAACTAGTGGTGGCGGAGTTTGAATTAAGGTAACACGGTGCACAAAAGCGAAATAGTGTTTGGAATGTTTCTTAATATTCATATTTACAAAACCCACTAGATATTTTTTCCCGGTATTAAATATCCATACAAGCCAGACCGCCCAAATTTCTGCCATTTTCAGCGTGTCTTTCCCCGTCATGTTAAACGATTCCTGAAACGGGATACAAACATTGAAACAAGAGTAATATCAAATATTTCGTTTGACAGCCAGATACAACAAACAATCAGACGCAAAAACAGAGGAACACAATATTTATTAAATATAATTTTAAAATTACTGAATGATCTTATAGACTAAGATCAGCATGACAAGTAGAACAAAAAAAAAAGTTCACAAATGACATTAGAAGGTTATAGAAGCCACGAGCTGGGCACATGTGAGCAAGCTTAATGTAAATCTGTGTCTCTGACGTTCAGCTTGTCTCTTCTTTTTTAAGTTCGTAACTAAACCCGTCAGCAACTAAAGTCTAGCTGTTGGAGATTCAATGCAGTTACACAGCTCAGCCACAAGGGGGCTATTTCCTTTATATTAATGTTTATCTGGCTCAATTAGGTCAATGTGTGCAAGAAATTAAAGCTGAAGTCTTAATGGGCAAATACCCACAAAACGCTTCAGCTGAAGGGGTGTCAGACAGGTGTCCTTAAGGTGACCCTGTGTGACATCACAAAAACAAGCCCCCCAGTTACTTCTGGAAATGATTTACTTTCTATGACCCAGTCTGTCACATGGGTGGTCCAGTGGCACACTGCTCTAAGGTGAACATATATAGGACAGACCTCTCACTGCTACATGCATAGAACAGTCTGAAGGTGACGCAACGAAAAGAGCAGCGTAGCAGGTAGCGTAGTGCTTAAATATTCAAATTTTTACACAAAAGGTAGAGAGTAACGAATAGAAGTGTAAAAGTAGCTGCAGAAAAAAATACATCTGCGAAGCAACTAATGTGATAATTATGGGGGAGACAGAGAATGATGACTATGTAGCACTGGAATCCAACAGCGCCACCATGTGGTCAGCAATATGTGGCAAGCCTCACATAGAGGTGAAGTTTATTAATGACAGACTGGGACAGACTATGATGATTTTCATCCTGGGGAGGGGGGGGGCATAAGCAGCAGTGGCTAGATGAGCTAACTGGGGCATCTCCATTCCTGGTGTTGAAAATGGAACCTTCCAGGAGCTACTGAATTCCCTCTGTATCAGCCAATCAAAACCATTATTAGACCCAACTTCGACCAATTACAGCAAAGCCGGTGGCAGAGGTGCTATAATATTCCACACCTTAAAATGTTTTTTTTTTTTAAGCATGCAATTCGATAAAAAAAAAAAAAAGAAAAAAGTTACGCCTCACCCTTCAAATGTTCATTTAATGATGTCGCTAACTATTTTTTTGTTTTTTTAGGAATCACTAGATACACAGGAGGGAGACGACAATCTCTGCGCTCCCTGCACAAAATCCCAAAAGCGTTTGAGCATGTGCTACGGAGCGAGGAAGGACACAGCAGCGGTGCACAGGAAGACGGCCGGGCCGTTCTCGCTGCGTTTCGTTTCCAGGGAAATGGGAGACAGGGGTGGTGACACGAGGCAAGCTGGGGGCAGGGGGGAGATGGGAGCATATTGGGGTGTAGTGTGCTAGGCTCCTGACAGTAGGGGGGGCGGGGGTGGACGCGGGAGGGAGACAGGCGGTCAGTCGAAGGAGATGAGCTGAGCCTCTGTGCTGCCCGGTGCTGCCTGAGGTGGCTGGTGCTGCGCTTGCTGCTGGGGGCCACCAGGGGGCACCATCTGCACACGAAAAGTGAAATTCAACCAGATTAGCCCGGACTACCAGGACTTGGAGGAGGGAAGGGGGAGACATCTCACCTGCTGGTATATTGGCTGCTGTCCGGGCAAATATGCCTGCGGGGGCGGCATGCCGGGGTCCTGGCCGGGCAGTGCTGACATCATATTCTAGGGGCGTGGCCAGGGCGACAGGAGGGGTGTTAGAAATGGCATGCAAGGTCGTCAGCTTCTCCTTGTAAACAACAACACTGATCGCCTATTACAGAGACGGGATGCTGACCTGCATGTTGTAGGCTTGGTAACCCATGTAAGCCATGCCGTTGGAGGGGGCAGTCTGTGACATGGGGGGCATGGGCTGAGCCTGGGAGGCCACGTTCTGCGGGGGGGGATATGGAGGAGAGAGAGAGGGAGAGAGAGAGGGAGAATGTTTACCATTCTTATCTAACTCCGCCATATGCAAATGTAACCAGCACCAAATTAAACAACAGGAAACTATATCTGTTCATCAGATCTGCGACCTCCGCTTGAACCTGGTTATATTTTAACTAGCGGCGAATGAGTGGCCATGCGCTCGCTCTCCAGATCACACGGCCCGAGAGCCCTTACCTGATAGGCCTGCGTGGGGGTGGGCTGGTAGCTGGAGTAGGCGGGGTTGGTTGTGGGCGGGGCCTGGGCTGGGGGCGCGGCCTGGCCGCCGGAGCCCGCCGTTTGGTACATGTAGGCGTTCACCATGTTGGGGTCTACAGACACATTGAGTGATGAACGGCGTTAGATTCCATATTCATAACCTGCGTATTATGGCTGTATTAGAAAATAAGGCGCCAGTGAGCCCCCCCCCAAACACCTGGCACCCACCTGTGGCAGAGACCGGCATGGCCTGGTAGGGGGGCGCAGCACCAGCCTGGCCTGGCTGGTTCATGTAGACCGTGTGCATGGGGGAGCCCTCCACTGATCCAGAGGGGCTGAAGGTCCCGGGGTAGCTGGGGGGGCCCGCCGCCTGGTAGACTACCCCCCCAGGCACGCTAGGTGGGAGGGACTGCATCTGGAAGAGAGAAATACAGCAATTCCTTTATACATGAACAGCTCAGTTACGCTTACTGACCCATGTGATGTTAAACACGTGCATTAAGTTCATAAATGTTACTGGTTTCATTGCAAATGGAAGAAGCTGAAAGCTTCAGCTGTCCTGAAGGGCTGCAGGTCACGTGACCAGGCCCGGCACCCTGCGGAGCGCCCACCTGTGCGTACGGCAGCGAGAAGGCTGGCATCTGGGCCCGCATCTGGATGGTGTGCTTCTGCTGCTCCAGCCGCATCTGCCGCTCCTTCTCCTGCTCCTGGAGCCGCTGGATGGCCAGCTGCCTCTGCATCTCCAGGTACTCCTGCAACACGGCGGCCGGTCGCGTCACGGGCCTTGCCGTATCAGCCAATCGCCGCGAGCCTCGCCCCAAAGCTATGTCCAGATAACAGGACGGCCAATCACATCTCAGTGGATGTGTCACATGACCCGGATCAGGCCGGACAGGTCACCTGCTTCTTCTGCCGCATGATCTCCAGTTTCTGGGCCAGCTGAATCTGTCGCTGGCGCTCAGCTTCTTCGGCAGCGCGGCGGAGTTTCTCGCGATGCTCGTCCCGGAGAGCGTTGAGAGCCGCGCGTGCGTCCCGCAGCTGGGCCAGCTTGTCCTGCAGGCCCTCGTAGTACACTGCCGGCACAGAGAGGCGTTTCCCAATAACGTGTGTACCTCACCGCATTCCTGTTGTTATATTCTATTCCAAAGACCAGTTCCAATACTCAAGAACAAAAGCAAAGAGGATTGTAAAAAAAATTCCCGGTTGTCATTCTTGCCCCGCCCCAAATACTAAGGAAACATCGGTCGCATCCTTGCCAAACGAGACCAATCCCATGATTGATTGAGCCCCAAGTTCATTCTTGCAAGGCAAGTCAGCAAGACCAGTTTTGCCGAGAGCACAGGTACGATCTCGCCATTCTTGGCACTGAGAGACTCCCACGGCCGACCGATGAGCCACAGACTCATAGGGGACAACGTTATTAGTTTGGATTTAATTCAGTTTTCATTGCATATTATTTTCAATTTTCATTTGAAATCCTGTTTACTTTTCAGTGTGGTTTTATTAGTTTATATTTTAACCTCCTGAGACCCTACGTCCTCATATAAGGACATCGTTTTTAGTTTAAAACTATTAATTGTTCAAAAAAATAATGTTTGGTTTTTATGATTATGAGGTCCTACTATAGCTAACGGAAATATAACATGCACACCAAACAAAAGCCCGGGACTCAGGAGGTTAAAGATATATTCCTATTTAGTTTCTATTATATATATATATTAGTTTTATTCCTAGTGATAAAATGATTTACAACTTTCAGTCTATGTGCCTGATCATTAGAGAATCCTACATATATACACACATACACTATGTATGTCCCCAAAATGGGTAAAACATGTTCCAAGTATTATTGGCCATCTAAAGGCAATATACTGGATTATGTTTCTTGAAACGATTTCCAAAGACGGAAGATAAACAAATCATCAATTTAGCTAAATGGTACTTAAAGAGGAATTAAATGTGTTTGTTTGATTTCATTTCAGTTCGTTTTGAGAGCAATATTTATAGTTTTCATTTAGTTTGAGATTAGTCTATTTTGTTTTTCTATCTTGTTTTTATTTCAGCTTAGAAAAACGTTTTCTTATTTTATCTTTCATTTAGGATAATAACCCTGGCATGAGATTAACATGGACGCCCTTACGACTGACTGGGGGTTTAAAAACAGACGACGGGATTGGCTGGAAGCGCTTGTGGTTGGGTGTCGGCTCACTCACGCCTCTTCTCATCCAGCTGATTGAGCAGCTCCAGGAGCTGTGGGTGCATGTTGTTGATGGACTGGAAGAGCGAGAGCACGGCGCTGTCGTTGGCGATGCTGCGGCCGCGCATGTGGTTGCTCTTCATGCGGTTCAGGAAGGTGGTGACGGCGTTCTGCAGCGCCTTCAGGAACTGCTCGTGGTTCTCCTCCGACTCGCCGTTCTGGTACTGCTGCTGGGGGAGGAGGCCCGGCGTCACACTGGGATACACGGTGAGGTTAAAATAGCCTCTCGATACAAGTGTGCGGGTCTGAGGGGGGGCGTGGCGTACCTCCACGATGCTGATTGGCTGAACCGGAATGTGGCTCTCCACGGGCTGGCTAATTGGCAGGGGCTCGGCCAATGGTGCGGGGGCAGGGGCAGACGGGGTGGGGCTCTTGCGCACCTCCTCCTGCTTCTTCTCCCAGTAAGTCCGGTTCAGGTATCGTGCCAGCTGTGGACAGGACATTCCGGCACTCATTCCCAAACTACTGTGATTGGACATATTTCAGCAAAACAAACCCACAGATAGAAGTGGGCACTGAAAACGACACATGACTAGCTCTCCGTGTTTATTAAATTAATACTGCACCATGTTCCTAAGAATGTTCCAGATTTCAAAGGTGACCCAGAGTGGTTACTATATCTTACAGGTCAATATTTCTAAAGGGCGACCTGGATCTTGGATACAGTTTATCCTTAAGCTTTGTCCGTAATCCACGAGGAATTTCTTGACGCCTCATAGTAATAAAATTTTGGGCAAGACGTCTTCACCTCCAATGCTGGGGGGTTAAAGGTCACAGGGATACACTGTAAGACGGAGTGGCATGCGGAGACGGCCACCTCACCTCTGGGTCCACGTCTTCAGCTGAGGGGGCTGAGGAATTCTGGGAGGAACGCAGACAGGAAGAGCCAGATGAAACCCGCAGGTACGTGACACACGTGCCACAGCTGAGAATGTTTCCCACTGAAATGTCCTCTTACCACGGGAGAGGAGTAGAGGGTGCTGGCCGGGGGGGCTGAGGAGGTCACGGGGGTGGGGTCCGCCTTGGGGTACACAGAGTAGGTGGTCTTCTGCCTCTGCAAACGGAAGTGTGACAGCACGTTACGGCCGGCCCCAGCAGCGATGGCGGCAGGAGAGCTCGCAGTGTGGACCTCACCATCCTCTCCTTCTCCTCAGCCTCGCTCTGGGACAGGGCAATGGCCAGCTGCAGCTCCTCCTCCTCCTGCAGAGCCGCCTCATCCCGCTTGGGGGGCATCTGCGGGGGAGGAAGGTACCTTAACTGGGGTACGACCCGGGTACCAGAGGGCTGTTACATCAAACTGACCGACTGTCACTTCAGACTGTTAACGTAGCTGCATATCGACATATGTAGCAACAAAGTGACAAAAAACTACATTACCCATAATCCCCCCAGTTACTGTGACTACCACCTGATGCATATCGAGATATGTAGCGACAAAGTGACCAAAAAAAAAAACTACATTACCCAAAATCCAGTTACCGTGACTACTACCTGAGACTGCTGGGACAGTGGGCTGGTCAGGTACTCAGGGGGCAGTTCGGCTGGGGCCCCAGCAGTTCCTTTACCCTCCGCTTTCCTGGGGGGGGGGGGGGGGGGTGTGTTCACAAGTGAACTCAATAGTTGGAAAGACAAGACATCAGCTACATAATTCGGAGCCTCACAAGAAGAGATATGCTTGAGAAAATGAGAGGATCTGGGGCTGATTTTGACAAGGGAGCACTGTGGTGATGGTTTACTAACCCGAAAGTAGAAGAGAAGCTGTGTCTGAGTAATGGGTGACTCACAAAGCCACAGTTTTTGTCTAATTATTGCAACTGAAGTAATGTATTACTCATATTGTAACAGAAGAACAAGGACCTTGTTGAGTGAGGCTCCTTCCTACAGAGGAGTTGTTATCTGCTATTATCTAGTCCTGGATCAGGGGCACTCACTTGTTGAGGAGCTCGAAGCAGGGCTCGCAGACGCGCACCTCCTTCTCGATGCCAAACTTGGGGATGGTCGAGTACTTGGAGGAGCACTTGCCACAGAAGATCTGCCCACACGCCCGGCAGTGGTGCTGAGATCAAGGGCGGGGGTTGGGGGGGTGCAACCAGAACACTAATTAATCCTTCAACAACAAGACAACAAGAGGACAGAGGGAAGCAAGGGGAGTGACCACTGGCTGGAGAAGCAGGGAGTTAGCACTGTACGAGAGTGGAGATGGTGGGGAAAAAATCAGACAAAAAACTTCTAATGAAGACTTTTCTCAAAGTCATAAAAAACATTGGTCATCCAAAAATATAGTACTCTGTCACTGAGGTTCCATTTATATTTTTAATTATTTAGCACACACTTTAATTCAAAGCAGGGTCAGACCCGGAAGGGACTGGGAGTTAAGGGCCTCGCTCAGGGGCCCAATGACGGCTTTACTGGGATTCGAGCCGGTAACCTTCTGAACACAGGCAGTATCCTAACAGAGTCACACATCCCTCACAGGTCAACACAAAAACACATGAAATCTTCCATGCAGAGCTACGAATGACCACAGCTGCTAAGCAAACACCGCGACGCTTGAGCTCTGGACAGACGGCTTTCGGTCGGGTCTCACCTTCCTGGTCACGACCCCAAACTGAACCCGGCACCGGTGACACTCCTCTGCGTCGACCCAATCGGGAGCCTAGACAACCATGGAGATAGAGAGTCACGCATGGAGATAATGAAGGATCAGAACAGAACGTGAGCCGTCAACCACGAGCTGAGAGGCACGGCGCTCACCCTCTCCGCCGCAAACATGGCGTCGCTCTCCTTGAACTCTGGGAAGACGTGACCTGCAAGAGGAGACACCAGGCTGAATAATGTACGACGACTGCGAAAGCAGTGAAGATATTCACTTTCGTTGTCTAAAATGCATAATCCCCGCTGTCTACCCATCTCGACACGCGTGCTGGGCTGAGACAGTCCTCTACATCTGCTGCTCCACATGATCGGAGGCCAGAGGAGGTGCAGAAAATGGCAGATCCCTGCTTACCCTCCACCTTCATGATCTGGTAGGTGTCCTGAACCACCTTGTACTTGGGCTCGTTGCGGAAGGCGTGAGCCCAGGCCTGGATCAGGTATAGGATCTTGTTCTTGACGTTAGGCTCGGTCTGCTTCTTAGGGAGGAAGATTGCAAAGGAAATCAGATCACAGCGAGCAGACGACAAATCCAACGCAGCGAAACAGAGAAGCAGACAGGAAGGAGGTGTAGTAGGTTAGGGTGCCAACCAGTGGTAAATTTAAGGCAGTCCGTTTAAACCACCTTAAGCAACTTGTTTAACCGGATCCGTGCCAGTAAAATATCCAGCTATGTAGACCTGTGAAAATACTGTTTGCCTAAGCAATTAACACGTAAATCAGTCACACATCTCATCTGGCAAGAGCCAAAAAAAAAGTATTCTAGGCTCCAAGAAACTCACTACTATCCCCGAGGCTCTACTCACTCTGAAGATAGCATCAAGGAAGATATGAAACACAGCTCTTCATTACTAAACATAGAGGAAATGGCTGACTTATAATCAAACACACATCTGCTGCTACTGAAAACTAAACGCATGACATGCAGTACACTTCCTATCCTGTACCATTTCCTCAGTCTTCCCTAAACATTAAGTTGAACCTTAAACATCAACCATGTTTCTGTTCAGTCACAAATAATTCTTATAGTATTACCTTAAAAACAGCCTCTGTGTAGATGATGTTTTAAAGTGTTTATTTTTATGTTCCTCTGAAAAGACTGAGGAACTCCCCTAGCTGGTCTGACTGAGTAATCATGTGACACACTCTGACCTGGAAGTCAGAGTAGCGAGTCATAAGTCACCTGACATGACTCAGCCAACCAGCACGCAATTGCTCAGCAAACAACATTTCTCCCTGCATATCAGCCAATAGTATCTCAGAGGCGTGACATACCTCTACAAAACAACAACACAAAAAGGCTTCGATTTGCCTCACATTTCATGTTATTGACAGGGTAATGTGTCCAAGTAAAACCTTAATAATGTACCTAAAACAGATTTGTCAGAGAGTAAGCTTTGTGTGGAAAAACACATTTAACTGTTTTATGTTCACCTTGGTCTTCAGCTGGCTGATAACAGAATACCAAGAGCAAGAGGAGCTTAACCCGGTATTTACAAGATGCGGGGCATCTACTTTTTTTTTTGAATAATCTTCAAGCAAAAACAAGCAAAGGGGTGGACAAGCAAGAGAGGGGCACTGGATCTGGCAATGGTGCGGCCACCTTGAGGAGGTCCTTCAACTCCTCCATGGTCTGCTTGCTGGCCACCTCGTCATGCACCGTCTGGCCGCAGTTCTTCACCACAGACTCCAGCACCTGCATGGCGAACACGCACGTTTAACCCGAATGAATGTCTGAGCCCGTGAATCAGCTCCGCCGATCACCTACGACGCCCGTTTCTCTCTGTACAGTAGGCTTTCCTTGGCAGGCAGGACTTACCTCCAGGCCGTACAGGGCCACATGGGGGTTCTTGTCGTTCAGCTTCCTCTTAATGGCACCGACGGCATACTTAGCCCTGTAGAAAATACGCACTTCTATCCATTCTTAACCTATAAAATGGGCTTATCTGCTCGTCATGACTTTCATTCCCCCCATTTGGATTCTGAAATGCATATACCACCTCTCCCATGACAACCCATATTGACACACAATAATTTATCAGTTAAAAGGTTAAAGTTGTGAGACACGCTTGGCAAAACACGCCAATTTCACAAAATGAGTCAAGAAAGCAACACCTAGGCTGTTACACCAAAACTGCGTTTCAAAATTATACAGGCAGTGGGGTCAAAGGTCAGAGCGCGGGGAGGCGGAGCTGACTCACTGGGCGTCGCCCTGCCGGATGAGGTCACATATCTGCAGGATGGACTCCCAATCGGTCTCTAGGAGCAGCTGGCTGGTGGCCTTATCTGTGGAATGAGACATTTAAGATGCTGTCACATGCTTGGCTGTAAAAAAAATAAATAAAACCCGTCAAACATCCATGTGAAAAGCCGCCTTCTGAGTAACTGATACAGGCCCAGACTAAAACGAACAGCTTTACTTGTTGCTAGGGCAAATTGGCCGTTTACTTACAACAGCAACAAGCAAGGAAGCTGGAAACACATGGAAACAAACGCCGACCCTTGAAATTACATACATTGCTCATAATTCATCCTTAAATTAGAGTGGCTGCCAATTTGTTTATGAAGGCTGTGCTGACCTGAGTGCAACAAGGAAACTGTACGCTGATGGCAGCTTAGGAAAATAAGGGGGAGGTTATACTAAAAAAAAAAGAAGGCTCCATTTGTATTACAGAACAGCCTGTTCTGGGCTAAACATAAACACACACGGAGTTCCACTTTGATGAGGGCATTACTAATATAATAAGAACGTGACACAAAGGACTGGAGATGGGCCAATCCCATCAAGTCAGACTGCAGTGGCATTCCGATATACATACATATATACACATCTGGGGGGGCGATGTCACCTAAATAGCTACCTTATGTACAACTATCTGAAGATAACGCTTATTGACCCAGATCAGCCAAGAATTAAGACCCGCAGAACGTGAGTGGGGTATTGGGCGATTAAGATGTCTTGGATCATATTTTAAATGATTAATTTCAATATTTATTATTGGTTTCTACGGCTCTGGATAAATGATCTGCCCCACCCGCTACTATGTTGGTCGCCCTTTTTGTTAAGAGATACATCAGGATCCCGCAGCCAGGTGATTCCCATCAGTGACTTGGCATATGACACCCCGGTACTGGGCCAACGGCCCGAGGTACAGACATTAAAAGCCCGGCTCGCACTGGCCTGTTCGCCACTGCTTGCATTTTAGCTTATTTCCTAGCGGCACCGTAAGTGCGGGTAAACTCATCAGGGGCCCCGACACCGCCATCGCCGAGCAGTACGCCGCTTCCAGCTGTACCACGCAGTTTCACATAAATACCAGCACCGGAAAACCACGAAATACATAAATGTCAGCCGTCGCAGCCCCCGGCACTTCGGTCTCCGACACAGCTGGCTCCGACGCTGCGTACAGCCGAAGAGAACCGGCCCGCGAAGGGGGCTTAAAGAGCAGCGGAACGTGTGGTTCTGATACCTAAAAGGGGCCGGAAGAGGGTCAAGGCAACCCGGGGGCTAATATTTAACCAGCCGACCGGGCCTAAAGCGGCCGGCCGACCGTAAGCGACGCAGACAATATCGGTACGACACCAGTCCCGGCTCGGTGAAGCGGCAGGCGCCGAACTGCGGGCTCTCGGCGAACGCCAGCGCATTAAAGCCGACATAACCTTACCCAGCAGCCGCTCAAACGTGCCTCTCCCCTTGCCCATCGCCGATCTGATGTCGCTTAGCGAGTTTGCTAACGAGACGCAGCCGCTCAGGTTTACAGCCCAAAGCTTCAGCAGCCTCCCGGCTCCACTTCCGGTTTCCTGTGCCGTAGATCACGTCGGCTGGGTCCGTTCGCTCTTCGAGTGATGGTCGGTCGCGCCCCCTGGCGACCGTATATACGAATAACTATATCGTATAACCCCAACAGTAGGCGCGATTGCTACACACTGCGCCTCTTTGTGTAGTGGCCTCACACCTCTCAGGCTGACAAATCCGTATATGGGGATTGTATTTCTCCGAAGTGACCGAAAATATTAGGCACTGTAGCTGGGCTGGCTTGTTCTGTATTTTTTTTTCTCTTTTCTTTTTCTTTTCTTAACCCTCACGCAATTAAGCCCTACTTGAGTCTCTGTCTGGTACACAGAACACTGCAGTCCATTGTCCGTAGTGTTGGTGTTTTTGCAGTATGGAGTTTCGTAGCGATCTCCAGCGCAGACCCTTCCCTGTGAACTTGCTCTCTTGGATGGTATCCTCTGGGATAAGTGAAGAATCCTAATGCTTCGTAGCCTTTAACTGTGTGAGACTATTATCATACTAAATGGATGAGGTTACTTGCGCTAACGATAGCATAGCAGTGATAATGAAAGATTAGTGCTTTTTTTTATTGGATTTTCTATTGATGCTCATCCAGTGCAGGGTCATGGTGACCCCTGGAGCTGAAACACGAAGCAGGGGATATTGTGGATGGACACTATCACAGAGCACACATTCAATTCACACACTCGCTTACAGTACACTCACATGATCATATTTCACCACAATCATGTGTTGGGCTGAGGGAGGAAACCATTGGCCAGAAATCCACAGAACCACGGGGAAAAAAAATGTAAATTCTACACACACAGAGGCAGACATGGGAATTTAACCCAGAAACTTAGAGGCATGAGCGCTGCCCACTGCCTACATACAGCACTAATAAGCATATAGTGAAAAATCCAGACACACCTGCTTTTAGTGCATTTGTTTCTATTTTAGATATATGTCTTATGGTATAAGTCCTCGAGGCAACGAAGTAATACATATGAAATACTGCAACAACCAAGAGAAGTGTTAAACATATCAAGATGTTTTCAAATGTTACATTCTTCCAAAATAGCCTTTTCTTCTATGACAGCATTGCAGATTCTTGGCTTAGATGAAGCCCCTTGGAATGCTTCTCCTATAGTCCTGAAGGAGTTTCCGTAAGTTCTGAGCACAAGTTAGAAGGAGCTACCTTGCTCTTACTCTTCGATCCAACTCATCCCTAATCAGCTGTATGGGGTTTAGATCCGGGGATTGTGGGGGCCGGGTCATCCGTCACAGCACTCCGTCTCTTTCCATATTTACAAAATAATACTTAATACATAACCTCAATTTGTGCTTAGAGTCGTTATCTTGTTGAAGAACAAATAATTCTCAGTAGGTGTGTCCAGACTTTTGACTGCCACTGTATATCCAGTACCTTCCCAGATGAGTACAAGACCTCCCCAGTACCTTCCCAGATGAGTACAAGACCTCCCCAGTACCTTCCCAGATGAGTACAAGACCTCCCCAGTTCTGTGGTCTCTGCATTAACCTGCGGCAGGGATTGTATTGTGGCTGAATGATCAATTAAATTTGATCACATTTGTTTTTCTCTCCTCACTGCCTTTGCTGAGCTTGGAGTATAAGTAAAGTTTCTGGTACCTGGCCTCTCTGTTGCCTCTCTCTGGTAGTCTTGGTTGAAGCGGATTTCACCCGTTCCCAATAAATACAGATGACCCTCCCCATCATTTATGCTTTATGTCCATGTTCCTACTCCACAGGGGAATTATCTGAATGACGAAGGAGACGCATGCGAGGCAGAGAGAGTGACAGTCTGTTAGCTCAGCAGAGAGGCAGAGGGGAATCTTAGAGATGTCAGTTATGTGGCATTAATAAACATCTACTGATTGGCCGTTGTGAAAAACTGACTCCCACAGCACGGTTGAGTGCCCACGAGGACACATGCGGAACGTACGCACGTACACGGGCTCGGCACGCCTGCCAAACACTCTTGGTGGGGCTGGATGGGGGGGGGGGTGACCATGGGCTTTGTGAATCGTATGGATGAACTTTGATCCACGGCTCAATGCTGCAAGACGGTGGGCGGGACCTTTGCCTTCGTTCTCTGTGTCTTGCAGAATAGCTGCACAATGCCCTGATTTAGCAGACCTTGGCGTTAGGGTTGGGGGGGTAACGAGATTCTGCCCACTGATGCTCATATAGACACTCCATTGTTCCTTTGTCTCCCCCTAATCCATCTCTATGACCCTCCCCAACAGTGTGCTTCAGTGGTGTCCCCCTATCCATGTCCTGGTGTCCGTCACCATGATAACTGGCCTGGAGGCTCCGCTCTTCAAAGCACCTCCAATGGACCACAAGATCCTCCACAATTCCTCAACACTAGAGTTCAAGACCCCAACAAGCCCACTAAGTCACCCCTTCTTATGCAATCCTGCCTTTTCACCCTTTGTATATATCTATCCTTTGATCCATTCTTCTAGGGTTCTGCATTAAAAGATCACAGCGAGAACCAGGACGGCTGGTAACCTCTCGCCCACCTTCGCTTTATGCCATGAGGCCTGTCAAAATTACAATGCGGAGCGACGAGACCTACAAAGGAACCTTTTGTGTGTCCACAGCCTTATGTCCATGTTGGTGAAAAGCATCTGAAGATCCCTGACTAGTGTTGAAGTTTGACGTTTAGCGCTGAGCATGCCTCTGTAAAATTCAAGGAACTCATAAAACCTCATAAAACCTCGTAAAAGATGTGAAGATGGAAGGCTTTATTGTTTTATACAGACACAAACACACACACGGGTTATGAAACGAGAGGTGGAGCAACAAAATGATTTCACATTGTTTTTTTCCACATCCACAGTTCAACCACAGCTAATACCACGCAGTAAAAGTAAAATGGGTATTAAGAGGAAGAGGAAGAGAGTAGGGTGAGCAAACAGGAAGTGGATTCTGGGTCCCAGGTGCCAGCGGAGTCTGAAGAGCTCTTCCGGCGTCGTTTAGACGTACCCCTTAACCTGGGTGGTGCCCCCTGCTGGCCTGCGAGAGGACTCATCCTCGCTGCTGAACGTGGGCGAGGACGGCACCCCCGGCGGGCTGGAGCCGCTGTAAAGCAGGGCCCCGCCGATCAACAGGAGCCCCGAAGCCCCCCAGCCGAGATAGAGGGCGGGGCCCAGCTCGCGCTTGTGGGGCGCCGCCACGTGCTGGTCATAGAAGTCGCGGATGATGGAGTGCGCCGTCCAGCAGACCGGGACCAGGTAGAGGAAGCCGGCCAGGCCGAAGAGGGCTCCGGAGACGCGGCTGATGCGGGCCTTGGTGTGCTGCCGGCCCAGGCACTTGGTGCACTTGACTCCCAGGACGGCCAGGCCGAGCGCCACGCCACACAGCAAGATGGAGAGAACGGTGAGGCCGCGGGCCGCCTGCATGTCACTGGGCAGCGCCAGCATGCTGTCGTACACCTTGCACTGGATCTGGCCCGTGCTCTGCACGATGCACGTCATCCACAGGCCCTCCCAGATGATCTGCGCCACCACGATGTTGTTGCCGATGAAGGCTGTGACCCGCCACAAGGGGGCAGTGCAGGCCAGGGCTCCGCCCACCCAGCCCAGCAGGGACATGATGAGGCCGAGCAGCTGCAGGCCCGTGGACGCCATTGGGTCAAGCGGTTCTGGTCGTGGGTCTCACCACCTCTCTCTCGCGCGCGCTCTCTCACTCGTGGGCAGGTGGGCAGCCCAGGAAGGACAGGAGTAGAATTTGCACAATGGTGATTTCGGCTCCCAAGATCCTCTGCTTCCTCTTCTTCCTCAACACTCACACCTGATGTCGACAAAAATCATCACAAAACACACATTGGATGAACACTGAAAACTACCAAAATGCCGGCACTCCAGATTATCTTTCAGGATAGCAGTAATAACTGCTATTAAAATAAAAAGAGAAAATGGTACGATTTGCCAGTTTCACTCTTTTCCTGACTTAATTTCAAGGTCAACATAATAGTCGTTACAAGAAGCATCATGATATCTTGGCAGAGAGGAGACTGGAATCTGGGCTGTAACTGGTTTCCAGTAAGAATGGACTCTTTTCACGAGGCCGTGGGAGTCAAGCTACGCCTTGTTGGACCAGTCGATTACCTCACGACACCACAAAGAGTGTCTGAATAGAGGGAGCCATTATCGGCGCCCCCAGAGTGGGTACATCTGTTTATCTGTTTGCTCACTCTCTGCACTGTTGTGTTGCCTCTCTTACTATGAAATAGTTTTCTTATAAGCCATTATCTTATCATAATCACAAACAAAGTTATTTCTTTACACCTGAAAGTGAGTCCTTAAGTTCATTTTGAAACTGAACTTTTGATTGTTATTGACATAAATGTAAAGCAAAATGTAGAATACGTTTTAACGTTTAATGTTCAGGATTCAGGGATACATTCTATCAGCACAGGACATAGACGGTCAGTGTTTAGAGTCAGTATGAGGTTTATTAGCCGTGTAAGTGTAAACTTAGCCGTGTAAGTGTAAACTTACTTGGAATTTGTCTTAGCCTGGTGCTTGAATTGACGTGACAACCAGAGAACCAAAATATAGATAAAAAAACAGAAAGATAAAAGCTTTCTTTAGTGAGCTTACTGGAGCAAGTGGAGAACATGTAACCTCACACAGAGAACCAGGATTCCACGAACCGGATCCACAAATAAAGTGTAACAAAGAAAGACACACAAGTCACATTTGTCCCATGTTACTGCTGCGATTTGTCGCTAAGACGTTACATATGGGTTCAGTTCACAGTTCAGGCAGTTAGGGTGTTTTTGGTCGATGACCACGGTGAGGATGATCATCCTACCTGCAGAGAGGTTCTGGCACGTCTTCCACAACTCCTGGGGAGAGTCTCCAAAGATAGCCTGGGGATGGCTTCCCACGAGTCGTCAGGTGCCTAAGAACCTTGTCCTGATGTTGGCCAGGGAAAGTTCCGGTAAGAATGGGTCCCAGTGTGGCGCTGCGGCGAGCTGCTGTCGGAGCGTGTGTGCGTGCCCAAGCGCGGACACCAGTGCCTGGCATTCCCTCACAATGCCCCGCTGTTCTGTCCTCGTCACCCTGGTCATCTACATACCCCCACCCCACATACAGCTCCGGCACCCGTCCCTCTGCTTGCCCCAGTCAGTGCGCTTTTGATCCCGTCTTTGCCTCCGTGTCTTTGTTCTGTGACAGGCTTTTCTGAAGCCTTTCCTTGTCCATCCCTGACTTTTTCTGGGGCTGCTTAATGTTCCCTGCATGCTCTTCCAACACCTCCTCTATTTCCTCCAGCTCTCAGTCTTCCCCATCTCTGGATCTCTTGTTCCCGCCCTTTGCAAACCCGCCAGTCAGCATCTCTGTGAACCACCTCTCTGAAGGTGAGATTCCAGCCTTAGAGTACAGGTGAATTTAGCCATCATCTGTTACGCAGGCTCATTGAAAGACAAAAACCTCATCAACTGGACAACGTGAGTCTTTCAACGATGAAAAGGCTTCTCAGAGCATCTAATGGAGATTTTAAGATGCATTAAGAGACTGCAATAGATTTCGGAATTTCCATCCATCTATCCATCTTCCATATAGCTTGTCCAGTACAAGATCACATCTATACATCTACCACCTGGTTATGCTGGTCAGGGTTATGGAGGAGGACAGGACAGAGCTGCTGTGCACCCTGGATAGGATGCCAGTCCATCACTGAGAAGAAGCACACACACACAAACATACTCACAAGCTACGGGCGGTGCTGTACTGGACTGGCCATCTGGCATAGCGGGCATTTTACTGGTGGGCCAGCAAAACTTATTGTGGTCCAGGACCAATTTTTAATCCCAGTCTACCCCTTGCTATGGATAATTACAGACGCCTTTATTGGACTGCAGTGGGAAAGCGAAGTCCCCAGAGGAGACCCACCCAACACCGACGGACCATGCAAACGCAACACTGATTCTGAACCTCAAACCTTCGAGGGATGAGTCAACAGTGCCACTTAGTGGGCAACCACACCAAGCACACAGGGTCACTCAGGTTCATTCAAAACAGGAATAATTTAGATACAGTCAGATTTAGGCTACAGAAAGGTGTTTTAGGGTGTCTTCAAACTTGCACTTTTTAGTCCAGTTAAAATGGACTCTGGTTCAATTTCCCCCTTGGCGCAATTTGTTTAAACAGGTGTGAATACAGTTTTTACACTCGGGTGTGAACCTAAAGAACCATACTTAGACCCTTGAAAGTAGATGGTCTTGGTCCTATCCAAAATGAACTCTGGAGCGGTTTGTTTTTAGGGTGAACGTGATCCGACCTCAATCAGACCCAATTTCCAGATGTACTCCATGAGCTTCAGCTAAATGGCTCCATTGGTCAGGTGTGTTTTGCATTCTGGGATGTGACAGAGCATGCTATCCAGTAGCAGCAGGGAGGCGGAGAAGGAGAAATGAACTGAGGTCTTATTTGGTCTAGCAGCAAGGCATGTTGCCTTCTTGAAATCTGGACAGATGACTACATCTGTCAGTTCCTAAAAATGACTATAAAAACTCTCAAGTTTTTAAAATATTCAGTCAACAGCTGAAGGAGAGAGGATTTCTCCGGTTTGCTGAACAGTGCTGTATGAGAGCAAAAAAAAACAAAAAAAAAAACTGAGGCAACGATTCATAAAATTGAGAGATGTTAAACTGCATAGCCCAGGACACATGGACCTTCTTCCGGTATTTACTGCATAGCCCAGGACACAGGACCTTCTTGCTGTATTACATCTTTACACAGCATAAACTACTGACAGAAAGGCTTGTCATAGGAATCAAATGGTGTAACTGGTTACACCATTTGACATTCCAATTTAAAATCAATGAATACTTCTGTAAGCACATGGCCTTGTTGTGAAAGTTTCAAACACAGTATTAAAAGTAAATACTCATTTTCATAAATATAATGAACTGTCAAAAAAATAATGAATGTGAGTAATAAGTTAATTTTCAAATTTTAATGCCTTTAAATTTAACTAAACCATATGCACACAAAAAAATTGCATCATGTTATTGGCCCCCATATTAAAATATTAGGTCTGTGTATCAGTTAAAAACACAAAAAGCTTCACACTGTTTATGATTATAGGTTTTAATGCTGGGTTAATTAATCACATGAATTTATACATCAAATTCCCAATTTAACAAAGGAAGAACATTTAGTATTTTATTTGTTCAATAGCTTAGTTAGTCTTGCCTGGGAACAGCTTTGGGGCAGAGAGCCAATACAACATACAGAAGCAGGGAGACAGAGACACACCCGACTCGATGTAGCTGAAGTGCAGCTCAAAGTCCAACCTCACATTTGTCATGTACAGATTATTCATTTCCAACAAAATGCTAGTTGCAAGAAAAGTACAAGCCGAATTTCAGTGCCTTCAAAAAGGCCAGATGAACAGATGGCAATATGAAAAGACAGGGCATTGAAGTATACACAGGCATGCCAAATTATATATTTTTTTAACACCTTCAATCTTTACACCTTGGCGATTAACCATAAATACACTCATAAGAACATAAGAACATAAGAAATTTACAAACGAGAGGAGGCCATTCGGCCCATCAAGCTCGTTTGGGGAGAACTTAGCTAATAGCTCAGAGTTGTTAAAATCTTATCTAGCTCTGATTTAAAGGAACCCATGGTTTTAGCTTCCACTACAATAGCAGGAAGACTATNGTAAAGCCAGATTGTATTTATTCAATTACTGAATTTCCTTCCAGCTAATATCAGTGCCATTATCTTATAATCATTATTTAATAAAGAAATTGGATGCCAGTTATCCATATAAAGTTTGTCTTTGTTTGGTTTGGGAATCAGTGTAATCAGTCTTTGTGTTAAGGTTGTTGGAAGGTGCTGTTCCCTAATGCTTTCTATAAAATCCCCCAAAAAGGAGTCAGTTCTTTAGAGAACCGTCTATAAAATTCCCCAGTTAAACCATGTATCCCAGGAGATTTGTTATTTACAGACAGACAATGTACATAAAGTGCAAACAACATACAAGGTGCAAAGTGTTTGGGATGTTTTAGATTCAGTTCAATGGTGTGTTGTGAGTGGAGCAGGGTGCAGCAGTCAGGGAAACGGGTGTAAATTAATGTTGCAGGTCAGATGTTTGTAAGGGTGATGGCTTGAGAGAAGAACCTGTGGGGACTGATCCTGGTCTGCAGACGTCTGAACCGTCTGCCAGAGGGGAGGAGCTCAAAGAGACAGTTTCCAGGCTGTGGTGGGTCAGTGATGATTTTTCCTGCTCTTTTCCTGATTCTTGAAGTGTACAAGTCCAGGAGGGAGGGCAGGGGGGCACCAATGATTCGTTCTGCTGTCCTAACTGTCCGTTTCAGTCTGTTCCTGTTCTGTTTGGTTGCTGCTCCAAACCAGACTGTGATGGAGGAGCACAGGACGGACTCGATGACTGCTGAGTAGAACTGGATCAGCAGTTCCTATGGGAGATCATACTTCCTCGGTTGTCGCAGGAAGTTCATCCTCTGCTGGGCCTTCTTGAGGATGGAGATGTTTCTCTCCAACTTCAATCACTTGGACGCTTGTTTCTCAGCCGGTGTGCAACATCAATGGCGTCTGAAAGCTTTTCCCAATCTTGTGGTATAATTTCCTGGCAGATGTGAACCGCTTCTTCTCGAACATTTTATCTAACATCCTCTCTGACACTGTGGAGTTACATATTCCAGCATCTACCCTAACGGTCCAGATCCCTCACATGGTTCCTGCAGGTCAGCTTAGCTTGCTCATTGTTTTCAATGCAGACAATTTTGTCCTTCAAGTCCTTCATTTTAGCACAGGTAGCCTTTGCCATACCCTCAAGTGAGTCAGCGAGAGTAGCTACAATCTTGTCAGATTTAATAACTTCATCAGCATGTGCACTGGATAAAGCAGGCTTCTTGGCAAGAGGAGGTCGACTTGGTGTTATAGGGAGTGCAGGAAATTCTTCTTCATTTATTCATAAGTTATCCCCCCTTTATTGTCATGGTCACTAGTGTTAACAATTTGGCTGTTCCCGGTTTTGTTATCCTCACTGGGTCTATTTTGTATATATTTTGACTTTTTCTGGCTCAGTAGTACCACAGTATATGCACTATGGTGTTAATTAGTTTTACAGAATTTCTAAAACTGCATGTATATATATATCTAACCAGAAGCTGGTGCTGAGAGCTCGTAATACACGACCATTTACGCCGCCATCTTGTCTCGCCTCCACTCTGTTTTTTGTATCACTCCGCTACACGTGACGCAGCGTAAGCACACTGTGCGACAGTAATAAACCTCCGTGTGAAACACGGTGATCACTGGGCAGTACATAGTCGAACGGATTAAATGAAGCATCAAAGCAAAGAATTTGCATCAAAGATTTTTTGTAATCGCGTTATTCGAGTTACTCGATGAATCCTTGCAGCCCTAGCTAGTTCAGTAATAAAATTCACTAACTCACAATGTACAATGTGATTTTCAAGCATAAAGAACCATAAGCCATCCTATCTTACAATAACACATTACCATGTAAAACATTTATTTTACAGTTAATTTCCATAAACTCAATTTACTGATTTAGAGAACTACACGGTAACACGGTCTGTACATAGTCAATCCCTATACCAGTCACCCAGTTATCCAAAACTTTTCTTTCATGTCTTCATGTTTTTTAAGTCTACTTTGGTGATGCATTAATTCTAGTTTATTATTTTCAGTTTCTTTTTGATCTAGCTTGCCAGTGACAACTTAATTCTTCATTCTGGACAATTATGGAGAATTCATTTTTTTAAAAGAAACAGCACAGCACTGCAGTATAATTCAGCACCGCTTTTTAATCTCCTGCAATGTCAGCAGCAGCACCTCTAACGTCTCCAAAATCTCCAAACTACCACTGCCACTACTATAGCAGCTCCTATCATCCCCAGCACTGACCCTGTTACTCCTCCCCCTAACCCTCTCATCATCATCATCATTGTTGTCGCTCCAAGTCCCCCTACGAATGCGGCATGCATTCCTGCTCCATAATCAGTATCCTGAGCAGGAAATTTGAGTTGATACAGAATGATCTGTTCAGCCTCTTTTCTAATTTCAGCCCTGACAATCTTCAGATATTGGTCTCTCTCCCTCTTCAGCTCCTCTCCCTGATACATACAGTCTAGCTCACAAAGCCTTTTATCCATCTCTTTCTCGCTTTCCTTCTCAACGAATGTTTCCACTTTTCTAATGCTACCTTCTATCTCCTCATATTTGTCATTAGTGAAGAATCTGTCTCCATTTTCAGCCACCAAACTCTCAATTCTCTTCAGCAAAGGTTTAGCTCCCACAGAATTCTTGTTAAACAGATGATACCGGTGTCCACACTTGTCCAAAATCTCTCTGAGGTTTATACCTTCCCAGAGTCTATCCTCCAAGTTTGGATTTTCCTCCTTACCGTCATGGCACAGGACAAGAATTGTGTACTTTAAGATGTTGTCCACAAAGTACTTAGTAAGTTTTTCCACAGTACGGACATCAGTTGCTGAGATGTCCTCCAAGTCCAGGATTAAAAGGACAGCATGGGGTCCAGGGCAAGACAGACACACGCATCTCTTCAGCTCCTTTTCGATATGTTGCTGTGTATGGTCCTTCTCGAAGAAGTTTCCTGTGTTGATCACTGATACTTTTCTGCCCTCTATCTCCTCGTGATTCTTCGAAATCTGTGAAAAGTTACCTTCAGCTGGCATGATCACCTGCCGTCCCAGGATACAGTTTGAGACGATGGTCTGTAAGGGCCTTCTGCTACTAAACAGCACGATCCTCAACTCCGCAGACACTGTGGAATAACAAAAATGTTACTTTAATAACGCCAATGAAACCACTTCTCTTCGTGAGGGGGCTATTAGACATGCTTTAAAAATAATACAACAAATGAAAAAGCTACTCTGAGAAAATGACGGCAACAGTATTTACAAATAACAATGTCCCGTGGCAAGAATTTCACTGATACTCTGAACACGTGACAATAAAAACTTGAAAAGTGAATACGTATGAAACACGGCAATATTGTCTTCTTATGAGCTATGTTTTAAGGGAAAACATGTTAAAACTGCAGGCATCCCACATTTGCCAAAGGTTTTCTATAAATGCTGCGCATTTGATATATACTCAGCAAAAAAAGAAACGTCCCTTTTTCAGGACTGTGTATTTCAACAATAATATTGTAAAAATCCAAATAACTTTACAGATCTTCATTGTAAAGGGTCTAAACAATGTTTTCCATGCATGTTCAATTAACCATAATCAATTAATTAACA